TTCATTAGAAAATACAGTATAAGCTCCAAAAAAAAAACCCTAACATGACTAACATGACTCTAAAACCACAACACAGAACCATCAGTCACATAATAAAGAACCTCAGAGTAACAGCTGGTTAGCATCTCTGTTCATTAGTCTACCATATGCAAATCATGGTGCATGGTTGCATGGAACATGGTGTCCTGCTTTACAATAGAACAGACTGACACTTGACAACACTACCGGGGAAATTTATTATGAACTGATGAAACTAAGGTTGAACTGTTTGGGAAGAACACGCAGCACTATGTATGGTATAAAAATACCAACATGAAAACATCATCCCAAAGGTGAAGATGTAGTAGAAAGTATGCGTGAAAAGGATGCATATAGATATTCCACAAATTAAAAAGCTACAAGGAGTGAATTCCAGCTGAATTCTCACCTTCTGAATACTAATGATCTGTGATCTATTTTTAATATCTCATTCCCCATTAATCTGTTTTTCAGTTAAATACCAGCATAATATTGTAAGGCACAAGTCATTTATGGTTTAAATAATGTGAGACAAAAATTAGAAATATGATTTTGGTAGTGACTAGGAAGAAAATGTGATCAGATGAGCAGGACTTGCCTCTGCAGTGAGCGGTAAACTCAGATTTCAGACACTGACAGGTATACCACTTATGGTTCCCACTCTAGGATTTTTTTAGAGGGCACTAGAATTAAGACAAAATGTCAGACAGCAAATGATTTTGAACACAGTCCATGTCTTACATCTTTCCATGACATTGAAGGTAGAGCCAAACTTTTTGGTCTGACATAATCACTTATCACTGTTAAGAAGTAAGCTCTTGTAAGACGCTATAACTTGTTCAGACATGTTGTTAAGTGAAACATGGGCATCATATCAGCTCACTTAAATATGACCTTCTCAAGGTCTAATATGTAAAATACTCTACAGCAAAGTATAGAGTGAACAAGAATAAAACCTTTCCTGGAAATCTTATTTCTATATCTCTTATATGCCTGATTAAAAGATCTGCATGTTAAAAAGTAGTTCAAGCAAAAACAAACTTTATATCAGGAAAATCTGTGTGTGTTATGTTTCCTTGTGAAGACACCACTTGTGAGCCTACTCTGAAAGGTACAAAAGACTCTAGCTGAATTTCAGGCTGGAGGAATAAATGTGCCAAAACCACAGAAGTCTCATGATTCAAATGCTGGAAGGGACAAATGAAGATTGTGCAATAAGGCTCATTGATTGTGTACTGATATAGATCGTCTCTCGGAATTCAATATAAATCTAATCATTTGTAGATCTGGGAAAAGCTTTCGCACACTTTCCGCAGCAAGTATAAGCCAGGTTACTCTCTGTTACTTAAATATTTCACATAATACTAGGGTGGTTAGAGAGCTTATATAACAAAAAGAGAAGTATATTTCTTTTAGATAAAACATTTATGCCACCTCCCCACTGACACAGCCACAGTAACTGTGATCAGACAGACTTTGGACGGGCTGATCACTGATAAAACTGCTGCATAAAAAAAAAACAGTGGCGGGGTGAGATCTAATCTTTCCAGTCACCCATTATTTAAAGCAGCCACGACTGTGGAGAGGATGTGATAGTTGAGGATAGCTGCTGCCAGGTTTACTGAATGTGAAACCAAACAATTCATCTGGGTTAGGTCAATAGGGGAATCAGGTTAAAAATTGCCCCTATTAACCACCAGTCCCTCACACTCTCTGAGCAATGTATACAGCTTTTCTATACTAGAATATCATATGGCTACAAGTTTGCTGTATGGTAATTTCATTTAACACAAATAATAAAAGTAGTGAAACTAGATTTCAAAAGAGTGCCGTCACAGTAGGGCCTCAAAATCAGGTGGTAAAGCAAGAGTCATTTCAAGTTTCTTATCATGTTAGCTAATATTGAGCTTTGGTGCAGATTCCCAAACAAGTTCTAAATGAAATTATCTGGTTGACACACTGTAAAACTAGAGCTTTCAGGACTCCTGGAGTTCTGGGACCCCAGGGCAATTGCCCACTTTATTAAGTTTTGTTTCACACACCCATGTGATTGCTTTGGAATCTGATTTAAAGGTTTAAGAGTGCGCTAAACACGGTGGGTAGTTGAGGTGTTGTGTTACGAGAGTTAGAGTTAGGAGAGGATACATTTTCACCTGACATGTCTACAAGCAGTACCATTTTCCATTATAAAATATTTCCTTCCTACTGTCTCTGTATTTGTTAAAGTACTGCCACTGTCAATGAAACAAGTACACCCATGGTTCTAAACACTGAATTTCTCCCAGCGCTTTCCCTAACTTGGACCAGCAGAGGTCCCTATCAAACTCTGATTTGGAAAGCTTTGAGGAATTAACCTTTTTTCCAAAAAATTATGTTAAAAGCTTCTCTGCTTCGTAAGTTTCACTTCCTCATCACTAGAAAAATTTTCCTGTCTTCCAATACTTTATTTTGTCCAGTGACTACTTCATAGCCCACAGATCTACTACAAAATAAGAGAAGGAAAACTTGCATCCTGTAAAACCTGAAATCAGTGAATATTTGGCATTTCTACTGATAAAATGACTTAAACAACAAATGAATTACCATAGCTGTGATGGATTAATTTCTCTAGTTCAGATACTTTACACAACTACTGTGAAAAACACTGAACTAAGCTATTTCAGGTGCTTCCACCTATGTAAATACTGAAACATTGCAGAAATAAATTGAGAATATGGGTAATTATATTTTCCACTCAACCTTACTATATCGTGCTTTGAGGAAAATTACACATCAATAGCTGATCACTCAGAAGTGACAGCTGTCACTACAGGCTAAGCGGTAATAAGCTGATGCTTAATATAATGACATAACCTTATAGAGCTCAGCTACAATTAGACAACATAGTGGAGATGAATTGTAAAAGTGTAGCAGCAGCAGAAAGACAGAAACACATGCTTCAGAGATGCATTTCCTCAGTGATGACGATGCCTCTGTTGACACACTGCTGGAAAGGCTGCTAGCGAGCTAACTGCATATGCTATCTGACTCGCAATGCTTTCCGGTTGTATGTGGTAGGAGCACATAGCCCACAGAGGCCAGTGAGCGATTATTTTTTTTAATTTAATGTGTCAGCAGAGAAAGTAAAGTATAGCTAATCAAATCAAAGTCATTAATTATCCTGGGAAATACTGCGTGAAGCTAGGCTAGCTAGCTTGTCAAATTATATGGCAGTTATGAGCCATCTTCTTCCGCAACACTATCACAATGAAGTAATAGTTAAGTTTAGGTTAAAAAGGGGCAACTTAGAGCGTGAGCACAGCTACACATGCAGCTTCTTCCCTCTACGTTCACTTGAACTTTGGCAGTGAGGGGAACGCGTCACGGAGCAGCTAGCAGCGGCGTACAGCGGGCCGTGTTCACTTACGTCTGGATGGCTGGTTAGATTCGCCGAGGGCTTTCCTCCCCCCACTGCCGGTTTTCTTGTCAGTCGCGTTCTTCGCTCCTCCTGAGCTGTTATTTTTCTTTCCCTTCTTCACGACCTCCCATTTGCCGACTGAGCCATTATTTGAAGCCATGTCTCCGGTCCAGGTGGGGTGTTATTAGCTCTGGCTGCTGGGTGAAACAGGACGACGGGACGGGACGCTCTGACAACGGCTCCGATCATTTAAACGTCCGCGTGCCACGTCTCTTTGTCGGTATGACGTCAGAGTGACGCGTATGGACCGTTAACTTTCATATCTCTGGATAAACAGGTATGGTCGTTAACGAAGGTATTTTAAAATCTAATTTCTCTATGCTTTTGTCAAAATTGTACTTAATTTAATTAGCACAGTAATTGTTGAAAAAAAAAATTTAATCTGCCAATTATTACTTCGATTATGTGTGTGTGTGTGTGTGTGTGTGTCATGAATTTCTTGTTTTCGTTTGAAGAACTGGTTGGACAAAACAAGACATCTGAATATGTCAATCTGAGCTCCGGATAATTGTGATGTTGTGCATTTTTTACAATATTTTACAATGATAAAAAATAATCTGCTGATTAATGAATATTTAGTTGAAGTCATAAATGTGCCACATAATACTTGCTATATCATAAAGTTGCATCTGACAGTTTGAGTGTGTGTCCTGTTAAGTCAAGTTTGATCATCTCAAACTGAGACAACAAACAGTAAGAAGTTTGGTGTGGATTTTTTAAAATTATGCCCAGAAATTCAAAAATGGCTAACATTTGGTCATAAATGAATAAAACAATCAGTCCAGTCCCAGAAACCTGACTTTTTTTTACAACTGTCTTTATATTTTGTCAATAAGGGAAAACACAAAATCTTTGCTTAACTTATACTGATCACCATATATTACTTGCATTTGGAGTTTTTGTCCAAAACATTTAAAATCCTGCAGAGGAAATGTATTATCTAATTACTATAAGGTCTCTGTTGTTGGCTCTATGACTCTATCACTGACAAATGCCAGATCCAATTAAACCCTGGACCTGCTGCAGTTTTCTGTCTGGCTGTTGTCTGTGAACAGACACTGAGTGTTGGCTGCCGTCTCTCTCAAAAGAGGCATTTAATATTGCTTAAACGAGTCACTTAGTGTTTGGCACAAACCTCCTGGATCTTTCTCAAGACCCCCTTCATTCAATGAGTGGAAGATTAACCACTGACCACCCTACTGAGTCAATATGTTAATCTTTCTGCAAGTCAGCTGTGCTTTTGTCTCCTTAGCAACATGTATTTTTTTTTGCATTTGTACTTGCAAAATATTTTGACAACAAAATACAAATACAAATGATTTCTTGCCAATATAACACCAAGACTTAATATCCATGTGGCTATACTGTAAGTGTGTGTATGGGTGTGTGATATGAAGTTTGCCAGAGCCTAATACTGATTTGCATAGGGAATAATAATTAGATAACACAGCTTCTGATGAATGTGAAATACAGCAGCAACACCGCAGATAAAAACACAACGATAGGGTTTGCTTCTTTTCTTGAACCTCAGAACTTTATTTCATTCCAGCAGTAACTCCAAATGATGCAAGTTTATCACACGGCTGCCATGGCAACAAACGGTGAGACAGGGTTTGATATTTTGTTTTCTCAGAATGGTCCAACTTATGTCAATCACACTCAGCCTGGCTGTCAGTCCCAATAAACCACACCTATAGCTCCTTGGCAGCCACTGTGGTGTTTTACCGCTAAGCAACAAAACTAAATTAAATACGGCAACAGATGAGTAATAATAGCAGCTAAAATGTTTAACTCATTTTACACAGTCAAACATTAGTATTTAGTAGTGTCTGTCTGTAGTTTTACTCTTTTTTCTAATATATTTGTTCATTCATAGAATTCAAAGCCTGACATCTGTCTGATAAATTACTTTTACATTGACGTGTCTGACTTGGCCATTGAAGAATTCAATGCAAATAAAAAACAAACCTCTTTAAAACAAATCTACAAAATATAAAATTGCATCTTTCCATATCTTCCTGGCAGCAGCCAGTCACTGCATGTTGGCATTTTGGATCATTTCAGTCAGTTTGTTTTGCTACATTTAGTGCAAGACCTTCAGTTTCCCCAAATCCAAAACCACACATTTTTTCAGAAACTATATAGAGCAGATTAAAAAAAGATAAATAAATAAAAACATAAATACATCATGCTATCTTATAAACAACCTGTCAGAACAGTTTCATGAGCAAACCCTCTCTGGTGGGACAACTTCATGAATAAGAACATACTCTGTGATCTTTTTTTTATGCTTCGGAATGATAATTTTTTCTATAAATGTACATGTGATGCAGTTCAAAGTCTGTGATATGTCTGCAGGTTAAATGTACGTTCACATGTGTCATCATATACATTTATCAAATATATGCATGTGCAGGCCTCTCTCCTAAGAGGCTTTACACCCTTTATATTTATTACCATTTCCACCCAAAATATTCTAAACTTATCACATTGTGTGGTTTCATATATAAACTCTACAGAGAACCCTGATGCATGTGTGTGTGTGTGTGTGTGTGTGTGTGTCAATGTGTGGTCACCAATCACAGTGCATGGTGAGAGAAAGTGACCTGCCTCTTCAGATAGACCGACTGATAGCACTGTTGGCTCCAGGCTGTCAGTGCTGGATCCCTGTAATCTCACTGCTATTAACCATAAACCATTGACAGACAAGAAAGGCTAAACTAGCCCTGTAGTGCAGCTGTCTCCCCTCTGGTAACAGGTTAGAATAAGTCGAGTAAGCCAAGCCAGGCTGATGGGTCCTAATCCAGACATGTCTTAGTTAAGGGCCTTTGCTAGTAGGAGTTTGGGAAGCTAGGCTGTGCAACAAAGTTGTCATGGATATGGACAACCAGACAAAATGGGAAAAGTAAGGGCAGGCTGTAAAAAGTAAAGTAAAAGAGAAAAAAGAGGGGGATAGATAAGAATAATAATCAGGTAGATTAAAGGGTGAGAGATGGGAGGGGAACAAAATGATGGTGAAGAGAAGAGGAGGAGTTCAGAACTCCTCCTGGTCTCCCCGTGCTCCTTCTTCAATTTCCTCATCCTCTGGTGGCGCGAATCCCTCCTGTAAAAGAAAGTTTGTATTAGTGAGAGTTTATTAACAACAACTCTTTGCCAGTGCAGCTTTCTTGAGTGTGCAAATGTCCTTGATGTTTTCCCCTTGCTACATTACATCATTCTGCAGTGTCTGGGACTGATAAGCAGCATTTCAAGTAGCGTCTACCTGGTCTCTTTTTTAATCAAAAAGAAGAAGAAGAAGGCTATACAACAACGATGATGTTCCATAAAATCGTCGGACAAGCCGGCATCATCAATCAATTCCCGCTGGATATCTTCTTTCGCGTAAATGGTAAATGCTTTCTTCTCCATCTCGAACCACAATGCAAAATAACAGTCTCCAATCAAAACTAAACAGTCGGCTTGCAGGTGCGGGAAACATGGCGAGTGAAATAGAATGCAGTGAGTACTCGACCAATCAGAAATGTTCAGCACTGCAGACCACACCCCCCAAAGTTCCTGAACCTTTGGAAAGTACTACCCCCCAACCAGGGACTTTTTGGGTGGTCGATCAATTACCCTGGAACTAAATTTGGATCCTGGTTCCTGCAGTAGAAATGTGTTTAGTTCTTCAAAAGGTTCCTGGTTCCTGGGGAAAGTTCCTGCGCTGGAAACGCACCTTTAGACTCTGCAAGTTGGAAATTGCTTAACGCTAATCATTTAAAGTGAAAGCATCCTGAAATAAAATTTGTAGCTATTAATGACATAACAAGCTAATTTTGAACGGACAAGGAATTACTGATAATTGTATTTGCTCAACAACATTACCAGCTATGGCCTCAGGTATGATCATAGAGTTGAATGAAACCTCTCAGTCTGAACTAAAACTCAACAGTAAGTCCATCTGTGTATTTAATTAATTGACTTACAACTGGCTTTCACAACCTGATTTCTTAAACATTGCTATCTGTGATTATAATTTAATTATGTGCATGAGAATGACTTCAGTCACAGAAAAAAATTCTGTAAAAGCAGTTACATGGGATGTAAAGACTGATAATTACACGTAGTGTTATAACTTTGTATAACAAATATCTTAATTCAAAGTCAGACTTAAACTTGTCCTGAAGCAAAATTCCCTGTGGAAGTCTAAATGTCAGTTTCCATTGCTGAACATTTGATTTGACTATATGCAAAATTCAGACACATTCAAGCTGAGAGGAAAAGCTGTGTACTTACTACAGAGCCTGTCCTCTGACTGAGCTGTCTACCCTCTGACACAAACATAAAGAAAAAAATTAATCACAAAGCACACACTCAGAGTTAGAGTGCATGCTAACTTGTGCCCTGATTTCCTGTGACACCTGATTTCTGTGAGTAACCTGGTTTCCTGTGTGTTTACTATTCATGAGCTTCACCAAACTGGTACTGAGTGCAGGGCTGTTATATTGTAGTAACGGTAGAGGACTGTGAGTCATTCATCTAAATACCAGGAGGAGAACTATTACTTATCAAAGCAATGACTGGGTCATAAAGTTTCTGTACACACACTCATATACAAATCTGATCCAGGCTTTTCTTATTGCATTTAAGTATTAGGCTACAAAACTGTAAACTTATTTTGATAAATGATAAATTGTTTTGATAAAAGTGCTTGATTTATGTGTAATCTGACTTTGTTTACCTCTGTCGCGTACAGTACGTCTATGATTTTGCTGAGGACTGGGCTGCTATCATTTTCATGTTCCTGGCAGATGAGCTCGATGTCTCTCAGCTTTCCAAAGTAGAAGTCCCTCTCCTTCTCCAGTCCGTCTACAGTCAGCTTCAGGTCCAGCAGCTGTGTGCAGAGACAGCCAGGGAGAAACGAGATCAAAAGACGGTAGGTTTCAGATAAGAATATAACAACACACAAATAACAGCAGAAGGGACAAGATCCTAAGGACAAGATAGTATGACTAGTTATGAGCAATAACCAAAACAACAGCAGGTAAAACAAAACAAAAGGCAAGTTAAAACCCAGAACAGACAGTGGCCTTGCATAAAAAAAAATATAAAAATACATATTCAAACTTTCTTATTTGTCAATAAGCTATTTAATTACTATTTTATTAACAGACTTTAAACTGTTAAACAGAGTATAACAATGTGAGAATATGTTGAGTCAGTCCACACATCTCTGCACCTTGTTTTCATCATGGCACAGAGCAGGTGCACTGACCTTGAGTGATGTCTTGCCTGGACCCATTTGGTATTCTCAACATGACACTGCTTTTGCAAAAAGGACTCCCACTATGAAACTAGTGTCACAGTGCACTTTTGAGAAACATCCAAATGTGTAGACAGATTAGTGTGATGATACCTGCTGGTTGAGCTCTATGAGCTCAGCATCTCCTCCATTACGGGTCACAGGAGTGTTCCTGCGGGCTGCTGCTATGTTGATCTGCCTCTGCGGGGTAGGGACACTCTTTGGTGCTGTGGGAGATGTTCTCATGGGGCCTGGAAGACAGAAATACACACCCATTTACTTATCTACCCTTGTTTACCTCCTCACACACGCCTTCCCTGTGTCTACACTGGATGTGTTTAGGCGAAGTTATTCTCTACACTGATCAGCTGCTTTCGCTACTTGGCCAATATAGACAAAAATTAAACCACCTTCTAACCTTAGCCTTATCAATCAACATGCCCCTTCAAGAGTTTCCTCAATCTTAGGCCAAAAAAAATTACTTCTATCTCACCAAGATAGAAGTATCAAAACAAACACACACCCGTGCACACACACAGATTCATCCTTTTAGGATGTCTTTACAGCATGTTTTAATTCTATTACCTTAAAGAGGGATACCATTGTTTTGGTTAGCCCATTTAATATAAAACACAAATACTTCACATTAACGTGTGTGTAGTTTGCTGTTTTCGATTTTTATCTTGCCTGTCCCCAAAGTTGAACATCTCAGTTTGCAACCAAAATCCTGACCATATTCTTTCCTAGACAATTGATAATTTATATTGTATGTAATGTATGTTCGTCTTGTTTTTGTCTTCTTTTGCCCTACTACTTGCAACTCCAAATGTTGTTTGGTTGAGTCAAATCAATAAAACAAACAGCATCAATCAGTTTCAAGCAGAATGTCCAGTGATAGAAGCCACAGATGCCTTTTGACATAGACAGTCATTAACTTAAATTTTTAATATATGTATGATATGCCTGTTCAAAACTTTGTAGGTGCACACAACTACAGATATGCAATCAAAGCTCACATAATGTCAGAGTAGACCAATCCACATCTAACTCACGGTATGAATGTTACTAAAACACTCTGAAGGGATGGACAGACAGACACACACACATGCTCGATGGAGGGGATGTTACCTGGGCGAGAGGTTCTTTTAGGTTTGTGATGAATGGGTTCACCTGGGTTAGAGGTGGGGATGTGGTTGCATGAAGAGGTGAGAGCAATGAAATGAAGCCTTTGAGTCCACATACAGCTGACCGCGTCTTACCCACATGTGTACTGTACGTGTATCGTACCTGGGTTGGGTGGAGGTGGCGTTCCCTCCTGGCCCTGCCGTGACAGTAGGGGGTCATATTCTTTCCCGTCATAGTTGGCATCAAAAAACTTCTTAAACCACTGAAGGAACTCAAAATTGTCCTGGAACTTCCCCTTCACCAATCTCTCGACCGGGATGATCTGAGAAAATAAGAGAGAGTTAGCGAGAGAGAGAGAAAGAAAGACAGGGGCAATGTGTTGAGGAAAGATTTTACATAACTGTCGTGTTACTTAAATAGCAGAGACAACAAGCAACAACTCCTGGATATGAATCTATGAGAAAACTTTGACAAGGGTGCTTCAGTGTGCTATAAAAAGTGAGACATGTAGCATTTTTACACTTCATAGAGATGCTTTGAGATAATTATTGCAAACAAATGAGACTATGATTGGGATGAGAAGGAGCCGAGCCACGGGTCATACAAGTGCTAGAACTAAGAAGAGCACAATTTATTTAACTTAACTGTGTGCGTGTGTGTGTGTGTGTGTGTGTGTGTGTGCGTGCGTGCGTGTGTGTGTGTGTGTGTGGGGGTGTGTGGGTGTGTGGGTGTCAGATTTCTCACCTTGTCCACATTCATTCTCTTGAACCCAGCCTGTAAGACCTTGAAATTGTGGATGTATTCATGTTCCAATTTAGCATTAAATTTAACTTTCTTCAATAATATGCACCCTGGAAATAGCATGTCCATGAACTGGCAGTATGCAGCACCTATGGAAAAATCACACAAACATTTACTTTTAGAGCTTAATGCACATTTTGAATTTAATTACAAGCTCTGCATAAAAAAACAAAAACAAAAAGTGTTTACCTGAGCAGAGCTGCTCAATCTTTGTGTAGGTGAGCTGTAGAGAGTCGTTGACCCATGCCAACATGTCATGACGACTCAAGTTCTCTATGGTCATAGAGGTGGAGTAGACATTCACCGCCATCCTCCTGCTTCACAAAAAACACACACACACAGGCACACACACACACACACACACAGATATTATGTATAAGAGTTGAATGATTGATTTCTGAAGGCTGATAAATACTTCAGTTATGAAAAGCCAATTCTTTGTGCTGATATATGGTGTATCTTTGATTAAGGTATGCCACTATATATAAACTTTAGAGGCACATAAGCATAGAAACAACTAACATAAATGAGAATATGTGAATAAAGTACATGCTCTTTTATACAACATACAGCCATAATAGTCAAAACATACCTGGTTGAAAAACAATGTTTTCTTTAAAATTTGTTATTTAATCATTCTGTCTAATTCTTCTCCTTGATCACCTGTCCATGCAGCCTCTCAGCTGGAAATCACCTGAGGTCTAAAATCTTTAAAATGATGATTCACTGATAAAAGCTTCCAATTCAGCAAATTTGTTCAATTTGTTAAGTTATTTTTAGAAAATAAACCTCAGACTCCAGTAAACCTTCTTTTGAAGATGGAAATACTCTACATACTTTATTAAAAAATATTTATTATCTAAATTATAAAATCATGTTAACCACTTTCTAACAGTAATGCTACAGTAAGGGCAGAATCGTATGTAGTATAAGACTCAAATACATTCACTTATACAATTAAATAATATATCCTGTCTAATGTGGCTAATATGTAAGATTTGCCCAATTTACTGTTTTACTAAGCCAAAAAAATAAACAAATAAAACCAAAAAACACACACACTTTACTCACCTGCGATGGGTGTGTGTTCGGTGTGAACTGTTTGAATCAGGTTGTTCTGGACCACCTTACAGAAAGACCTGGAGACAGAAACCAATATCATGTAGGATATCAGTCCTGATAGTAAAGATAATTATAAATCAAATTTACTTTACTGGAAAATCTGACTTTTCCTCACAGATAACAGCTGTATATCCCCTTTAAACATAAATTGCTCTATATGTACGTTTCTATTATATGGTCAGAACGGTTTAACATCTTGCTCCATAGCACCTCCACAGGGTTACAATATTAGATACTCCATAGATAAACTAGCAACCAGTCACTAGTGCACTCACTAGGCCACTAATCTGTCTCAGTTAATCCTTTTAGCCCAGGTCCAACATGCTGTAACTCATCATAGTTCACGCAGGCAGCTCCGATCACCAGAAGACGACATAGCCAAAAGACATGAAAACCAATACATCAGTGATACATCACACTGACAGCTCAAGATAAGGAAAAATCCAACAATATCAAGGCACTTCCTGTCAACTGACTGCCTCCAAAGAAAACACCATACAGGATGTTCTGCTGAACAATCACTTCCTGACTGCAGGGCTTCACAGAGGCAGCACTGTCCACCAGGCAAATGCTGCTAATTTGGTTATCACTGGTGAATCTGCCAGTTGTGGCAGTCTTTCCGTGTGTATATATCATGTCTAATGAGTCGATAAAATATTACAGAAATCTACTTTGACAAAGTTGTGAATTGTAAATGGCAAAAGAGCCTGTTGATTTAATGACTGTCTTGTCCACATATGAAGCAAACTGCACACACATTAGTACAAACAACGCTCAGGTCACTACAACCTGGTTAGATATGTGAGAAACAGTCCATTTGCTGTAAATTAACCTATAACTATACCTATAACTACTGGCTATTAAATTACACTTTTATTTATTATTTATCAGACAACAATTAACATTTGCAGATTAAACAATTAGGTTTTTGACAGGAAGTGATTAAACAACAATTCTAAAGTTATTTTTCATGCAAAAATTACAAAAATGTGCTGGTTCCAGAAGATTTCCTATTAGTATTTAACAGATTAATCAATAATGGAAATAATTGTCAGTTGCAGCCCTAAATTTGAGAACAATTCTGTACAGACAAACAACACCTGCTTGGCTTTGTTGAAATCATGCAAATAATGACTTCATATTTGACTATGATAATTGTTGAGACACATTACCTATATCTACAGACCTTTACGATAGTGTCAGCGTTTATAATAAGATGCATGATTAGACCTGAATGTAAGAGTGTAACCGAAAACCTGGACTTTCCCAGCTGACAGACTCTCTATCTATTTTTATTCTTATTTCCAGAATGTTCCAAAGAGATCTGCAACACATCAAACCAGTTGTTTTTGTATCTTACCCATTCATTACCTCTTTTATTATAGTACAGGCCTCTGATAATAAAATGTAATTCCACAAACATTCTCTTTCTTTAAACCGTCAGAGCTTATTACTTTGGTCTATTCAAGTTGATCTTAAGGGATCCATACAATTGCATGCATTATCAATAGGATGGCATCTACATTTATTTATTTATTTTATACATTTATATTTTTTTTACTTTATTTGTAATAGTTTTGGGAACTCAAAAGATGCTTTTGCGTCTTAACTTGACATCTCCTTTACAGATTGTGACAGTTAGTTTGTGTAGTTTGTATGCTACAGCCTAGACTTCAAAATAATTCAGTTTGCTGTAATTCAAGACAAGAAAAAGCTGCAAATCCTCAAATCTGAAAAGCTCAAACCATGAATTTTTGCAGGAAATTACTTTTTGAATGAGTTTCCATGAGTATGCTTTGTTGTTTTTCCTTGCTACTCCTTCTGTTTTTGTCGTGTCATTTTGTGGTGTCATGCCCCTTTACAGACAGCTGATACGGTGTTTTAATTTTTAATTTTACATTCTTAACCTATATTTCTACATAGATTTAGTAACATAGTTGCACCGTTTAGTAGTTTATCAATTCTTTGTAAATTGTAACATTTTATTGTTACCTTGCACTTTTTTGGCATGGAAAAAAAAAATTAAAAAAATTAATCAGTTACTTGAACAGTCGCTTTTTAGATTAATCAATTAATTGTCTGAGCTCAGTTTTCTTATACTGTTGGGTAATTTATTATTCACAACGCATCATGTTTTAAAAGTTATTCGAATGTTTTTCCATGTAAAACACCCATTTGTAAAGTATCAACTGTCAGAGTAAAAAGGGAAATATTTATCTCCGAAATGCGGTCGATCAAGTACCTCATATTGTATATCAAACTATCAGGGTCAGCAGATATAACGTATTACTGCTATAAAGTCTGGCGGTTGTACACTCTCCTGTGGGTGACAGTGTATGACCAAACTTTACAGCCCGGGGTTCCTCCAGTCAGCCTAGTGTTGTGACAGTTGACGGTGGAGCCGTTTAACGGTGCGACAGACTCCGCTGCTACCGTGCGACTGTATCGCACTGTACTGTAACCCTGCTAGCTCCCAGCTAACCACGCACGTTGACTGTCGAGCTAAGCTGCCGTTTGGTTCGTTGAATGTGGGACGTAGAGGCATACCAGTGAATTTCATTTGACCACAGGGTCAATAGCGAACTGAAAATAAAAAGAAGTGTGGGTGAAAACGAGACTTTTTAGGCTAACGTTACCCCCCTCTGGAGGCCTGTTCGGTAATACACACGCACATTACCAGTGAAACTATGGAATGGCTCAACTATTTATATAGCAAGCAAAATCAAATGAGCCGTTAATAAGCTGATTTGAAACATAAAGAGGCTCGTTTTAAGTTAAGTTGAGTTGACATTACTCACCGGAGTGGCTCTCTCAGCCGTCCCGTTGTCTCTGATGATGAGCTGCTTTCTGTTGCTATCCCCCCGACTGTTGCCTCTGCGAGTTGCCGCGAGACTGCTAACGCACCTAAGCTCCTTGCAGTGCGCATGCGTGACGCAGTTGCAGGATTCCCCCGTTGTATTTAGTGAAACCGGTGTTTTGACGAGCAGCCATAATGGAGACAGAGTCTTACAGCGTGACTGCGGCCCATGTTTGGGGATTAACCTGACCGGTGGTGCCTCTCTCTTTCCTCTGTTTCAGTTTTTCACTTAAAAATTTAAAAATTTAAGTTCAAATGTAATTATGCCAAATTATCTAGATTCAAGAGTCAGTGAGTCCATGTTTAACCTTATTAGGTCATATGATTCAGGACAGTACCACAGAGGAATGCAGCCTAATCTTTTCATCATTACTTATTTTATTTTTTTCATAGTCAACTTTGACAAGTAATGAGTGATTGGTGGCATTAAAAAAAACTTTGAAAATTAAATTTTTATAAATTGGAAGCACAGAAATATAACAATCAATTTTTAATATGGTTACAATGTTACTATCACTGTATAGTAGTATTAGATTGTTTTTTACAATTAATTGTATTTCCAGACCAAAACCTGAGGAGAAATTTAGATAACATAAATTCCAAAAGGCTGGTTTAACATCAGCAAACTGAGACCCTTAAGTGGAGAAGGAAAGAAAAGAAAAATCATAAGCATGTATTTGATAAAAAAAATCCTGATTTTATTTGCATCCCTTTCTGTAAGATAAACCTTTGGACAGCACAAATTTTACAGTTTTTGTATGTCTTGTTTTCATTTCATCTTCAAACTGCGGTGTCATGCACCTCTACAGACAGTAGTTTTCATTTAGTAACATAGTTGCATATTTTTGTTTTTTTAATCTACTGTTTTATTTTTAGGTATACATTAAATGAAAATATGTATGTAAACATAATATATTTAAATTTATACAGTATATACAGTATGTTCAATTTACTATGTATACCAAGCATCTTGAACACAGCAATTTGTTTTGTAGGATATACATTTCTATTTTATGTTATCATCTTGTCATTTTTCTATTGCTTCTGTTAATAAAATAGTTATTTACTTTTTGCTAAATTCTACTAAATTTTAAATAGAGTAGTTCACAAATCTCAGCATTTTAAAAACAAGTATCATGAAGGAGTCATCAGTAGGTTTTTTTCCACTTTATTCTTTGCTGTTATTCTTGTGGTAAGAAACAAGCAGCCACTTACAGATTAAACAGGTTCACTGTCCATCACAACAAGAGTCTACAAACACACACAGCCACTGACCAGTCACAGTGCCTTCAAAACAACAAAACCATCCAACAATAAAATAACGTTGTTGTAGTTAATCGTATAAAACAGCACCAGTTGTTGTGAACCTGTGGGAGAGATTTCACTCCTCCGTCTCCATGTGGTGCTCTTCATGCATGGGTGTTGGTGTGGCACGGGTGATTCACATTGGCACATTTATTCTTTCAACTAAAAAAACAAACAAACATCCTAAATATATAGTACACAGGCAAGAAGACGTGATCATGTATAAATATAATACTGCTAGGCAGGAATGAGACATCATCAGGAGGTGAGAGGATCAGTGGTTTTCTTCAGCCTGTGCAGCTCAATCTTCCTGCTCTGTGGAGACACACTACTCCCCTAACAATGCCATTTTATTTTCCTACTAATAGGAAGTTTACTTTCAAAATGCAGTCCATGAGATGCTACTGAAACTCAACAACATAAATTCATTTCTGCTGCTTACTTTCAAACCTGCTATGCATGAACTAGGGCCTCATTTATCAACAGTGTGTACAATTTTGTTTGTAAAGTTCCATGCGTGGAATCAGACTGATCAAATTGTTCTTGTGCTTGACAATGTGCAAATGTTTAGAACAACAAATATTCATGTGAACATAACAAATCCTTAGTGGTAGTAAGTGAAAATAAAAATATATTTCCTAGAGCAACCCAATATTTTCAGGTGAGTTTCATTTGAATCTAGCAACTTTTTTGCTCTGAAAGTCTTTAATGGACAAGCCACTTGTGAAAGTGCATAATAAAATGTTATTGATTTGTGAACCTTATTAAACAGCACCTCAACTTCATTGTCCGCAATGTTTGTCTTCTTTGTCTCAGTTACCACATTCTTCCACCAGTACTCTATATAAAGTTTTTATTATCGTCAATAAATCTCATAAATAGACCAAAACCAACAATTAGTCCAATTAACAAACTATCTGTGTAGTCAAAGCATGATATTGCCTATTCCTCTGTGACATATAGCTCCATTATTTTTCCAAAAAACATTAAAAAAACAATGAACCACATCACACAACATTGGGTGACATGTTCCTTCATTACAATGAACACACACATTGTAGCTGATTATGGGTCAATCCCACACACACCGTCCTGCTGCTGCAAATACTCACTAGCACACAAAATGTGTATTCATCCACCGCTAAAAATAGTCCTCAATAAATGCACCATTTAATCCAGTTTGAGTAGCATTTCTCCAAAACTACAGAGGTCAGACATTTTAACAATTTACCTAGCCAGTTTTAAACCTTTTTCGTGACCCATGTTTACGGATTTACACCTTCAATAGGAACCAGAAGAGGTGAGTGTCTCAGACAGGCTGCGGAAGTGAGAAAGTACTGAAAGACAAGCTAATGCATTGTTTGTTTTGGTCTTTACATAGGATTTGTTGACAATAACAAAAACATAGTATATGACCTGATACATGTTTTAACACTGCTCAGCCTGTTAACAGGATGGTGGTGACCTTTTATTGCTTTTTTAGGGACATTTCTTTGTGTAAATGAATCAGTTTTTAACGTGGAATAGTTAGGATTTATAATTCTTCACTACATACCAGTGTGGATGCTTATGTAATTTATACCAACGTTCTTGGGCCTGTTTACTCACATATTGATAAATGAGGCCTCAAGTGTTTACAGCAGTCAAACAGCTCCTGTTTTCACTCAGAAGGCTCTAAGTGATCTCTCAGATAAATGAGAAGGCACTGCGCTAACTTTTACTGATGTAAATTACAGCAACCATGATTCTTCTGTTATGTATTATCAGTAGCAAAGTAACAGACAACTTTTCCTCTGTTATCTCCACTGTGATCTTTAAATCACATATTCTTCATCCTTCCTTCAAGAAACTGAACTGACTTCTCCTCTGTGATCTAGCACTTTGCAAAGTCTATAGGTATGACAAAAATGATGAAGTTTCCAGAAACGCCTACATTTAGCTGTTGTGGGATCAGTACTGGGACTGGAGTTAAAATCCAAGGTAAACCCACAGGTTACTTACATCACTCAGTCTATAGACCCTACTACGTTGCAGGTGAGGTTGGGATGTTTGTGGGACATGTGTTAGTCAGAGGCAGTGAAAGTACAAGAATGGATGGGGTCAAGTATGACTCTGTTAAAGAGAGTGTAGCTGTAAGATCACACGGTGTTTGAAGCAGTTGGATTTCATCACCACACAGCACAGTTCATCCATTGGAAACAAAAACACTGTTAGAGGAACTCACGGTGCAGCAGGAAGCCGAGCACAGTGGGTGGTTTAATCACAAACAGAATCCACACATCTTCATACGAGTTTAAAACTATGGTGTCTACAGTGTACTGTATGTTGGTGTGTGTGACAGGGGTATAATAGATATTTCACTGAATCCAGTTCTACTATTTTTAAATAATTCGGTCGACATCACTTCAGTTGAAACCATCAAAAACTGTACTGGTTTTGATCTTTCACAGTTTGTTTAATTTGTTTCTTCACGGGATATGAGCAAGGTGCTCATGAGCAGACTTTATCAATGTTAGTATGATCAGCTTGAATTTGGAAAAATATTTAAATTCATAGATAGCCCTTCACTCTCATGTAATTAATCAGGTCAGTCACTCCAATTAAGACACAAATTAGATTTGTAAAAGTCACTTTGGCAAATCACTGATCATCAGGTCGTCACTGGACACAGACACATGCTTCAATTTATTTCCCCCTCTTAACTTTAATCCTGTGATTTTAAATCAGTGCAGTTTTCCTGGTTATTCAGAAATATACAAAACACGGAGGCTCGGATGGTTGAAGCTCATCACCAGTGATTACCAGATACCACTGGAGCGGCCGCCGGGAGGGGCCAGGATCCGAGCCGAGGACCTCTTCGGGATGTGGTCATCGACCTGAGACCCTGAGAGAAAAACACCCAGAATACAATTACATTTGATTCGGTTAAGACATTAAAACAATGTTTACACTAAACAGCTGCAGTGTCATTAGTTTTATTCCAGCCTACCTGAGAGGCTAAAGGACGACTCATGGAGGTCTCTGACCCCCTGGTGCACCCGACTAGCACAGCCTTTGTTGGGTGTCTCTCCATCTATTGGGCCCAAACCGAGCTCCTTCTTCAAAGTGTTTGCCACCTTGGCCACATCACCAGAGTATGGATCCCTGACAACTCCTTTATAAGCCTGAGTCTAAAACAGAGAATTAACATCATTAATACATAAACATAGGGTAGGGGTCAATTTATCCCGAATGTTATCCAGTTGTCCTCAAAACTAAAAATGGTTTACTTTTTTACTTGTATGATGGACAAAGAGCCCACTGGTGCCTGATGGTATGAGAGTCTGGTATTACCTGTTTGGGATGTACTATGTATAACAGATGATATCTAATACATGGACATTAAAACACACACTGAAAAGTATTAGGTAAATTAATCTTTTTTTTTTTAAATTTGTTAATTAACTTCCGAGAGCTGTCCACTGAAGAAATGTGACCCACAACCTTTGTTGTCTGGTGTTCTTGGCTAGAGGGGATATTAAGTAATACATACAGAAATAATAGTCCTGTCAATAACACACTCATCAAGTTGAAAATGGAGATGACAATACATTTATTTGACTTGACAGTTATGAATCTAATCTTGGGCAGTGTCTTCAACAGTAGACTAACTTAAGATCACAGGACCAGACTGATTTTGGCTGATTCCTACATGCACCTAAAAGTTGTTGCCTTTTCTGCTGCAAGATAATGATCACTGTGATTAATATTAAAGCAAGGCAGCAAGCACAGCCCAGAAAAAGCACATAATAAATGACATGCAGAGAGCTCATTGAGTAATTCCCCACCACTTAGTAGTAAACTATCCAGTGCACCTAAAACAGAGCAGAACCAGAGCATGCAGAGGCTTTGATGGAGGTTTTTGCAGACAGCAGCAGCAGAAAAACAGTGTCAGCGAAGAGGGAGAGCATTAAATCCTTTATAAAGACTGTCAAACCAGTGGAGTTAGACACAGTGTGATGGGTGTGTTTGCTGCAGGTTCGCTGTCAGCTGACACAGCACAGCACAGCACAGTGTGAGCCTCGGTACCCTGCTGGAACTTTATAACAAATACAGTAAAACAAAGTATTTTGATTCAACCTTTACAGTGAGGAAAGTGAGGATGGAAGCACAGATGTGAATGAATGAAAGGGAACACACCTTTTCTCTCTGCACCATCTTCTTATAGAGGAAGTCAGGGAAAGTGCGCTGTGGGTAGAACTTTCCGGATCCCTCAGCGCACATGAACACACCGTTCTCACACACCAGACGTCCTCGGCTGATGGTGACCAAAGGAACGCCGTGGCAGCGCATCCCCTCGTACAGGTTGAAGTCTCCACCCTGCACCTGCGTGCTCACGGAGATCGTCCTGCACAAAGAGAAGAGTCATCAATACAAGTGTTTGATTTCCTCTAAATCAAACAATTATGACAACATGGTCTGTGTTTGTATTTGAAATATATCTGCATACCTTGTTGCATCTGGATCCCAGACCACCACATCAGCATCGGCCCCGGGGATGATACGGCCCTTGCGTGGGTACAGGTTGTAGATCTTTGCAGCATTAGAGCTTGTCACTGCCACAAAACGATTCTCATCCATCTTTCCTGTAACCTGCAGTTATTAATGCATTAAAAATACAACCATGGCATGTACATATCAATAATCTATGATTTTCACTTATATACGGCGATTCTTTGTTTACTACTAATGTGTTTAATGCTGCACACAGTTTGTTAGTGTGCGTTTGTGCATACGTACCACTCCCCTCTCCCAAATGACACTCATCCTGTCCTGGACTCCAGCCACTCCATGAGGGATCTTGGTGAAGTCCTCTTTGCCCAAAGCTCTCTGCTTGGTGCTAAATGGACGGTGCTCTGACGCCACAACGCTCAGAGTGTCACTGGAAACAGTTTAGGGGAATGTATTTATTCGCATCACCTGCTTAAACTATCAGTGATCAATTACCTCTTGCATAATGAAAATGTTTTTTCAGGGCCACTGTTACTGTTAGTACAAAGTACTGTGAACATACCTGCCCAGCAGGCCCATGAGGTAGCTGGGTGTGTTGGGGTCCAGGCGGAGAGGAGGGATGATGACGTGGGCGGCAGCGTGAGTCCAGTCCTGGTGGTAATACTGCATCCCATTCAGCACCGCGTGAGCTACTGTGGTCTCTGCATGGACCACCTTACCTGGAAAGACAAAATGGCGAGAGAGGGAAGATTATCATCCTCTTCATCACTGTCACCATGTTTTTGACTCAACAGGTGACTCACCTTGCATCTTGGCAGCAGCAATCATGTCTCCAGCAGACATACTGGATACATTCACCAGGTAGATCGGGCAGCGGGCCTGCAGTCACAAGTGAATCCATTAATTTATCAGTAACCTACAGACATCTGCATATAAACAGAATATTAAAACCTAGTGTTGTGCCTGTTTACCCTGTTGGCAATGGTTACAGCTCTGTGAGTAGCCTCAGACTCCAGCTGCAGGTAGGAGAACAAACAAACACAATCACACAATGAGAAGTTTAAAAAGGACTCAATGTAAATGTAGATATTGGGTCTTTATTACAAACTTTTATCCAAACAAATGGTCAGCTTATTTATCCTTATGGGAAACATACATTTCACTGTTGACCAACTAGTGAGGAAGCTTTGTTTCTAAATGCCAAACCGAGCAGCAGAAATCATCATCTGTATAGGTCCATTCAAAATAAGCTTTCCCTTCGCAATTTTCATTGTGATGAAAACAATAACTTTAATACCGAGTGACCATTTCCCTGGTCAACATCATACCTGCCATTCTATTGGCTGGGTAATTTTGAAAGGGTTATTTTGGGTCATTTCATAAAAATCTGAGAGTGAGAGCAGGAATCTGAGAGGAGAAGTTTCACCAGAGCACAGACGCAGCTTGAGTGCAAGAAGAACTCAAACTGAAGCAGGACATTTGTACAGCAACAGTACATCTGAGTGCAGAGCAAATTTGTGCTCCATCAGGGGCTAATTGAGAGAGTGCAGGGTTTTGAGGGAAAGCGTTACAAAATCTGAAATAAAGATAAGAAAGAAACACCATATAATACCCTTGAATATCCTTAAAGCAACATTTTAAGTATAAATAAGGGGCCTCCCTTTAGGATAAACGAAAAGCAGAAAGAGAGCAGATATTACAAAATACTTTCTGCCCACTTAACCTTATCAGGGCAATATCTAAATTGAAACATAGGAGGGATTAGATATTACCTCTGATGTAAATCTTACCTCCTCTGGTCGACTGATCTCAATACCTTCTGGTCCACTGATGCCCAAATCCAGAGCCTCTTTGGCACCCTAACAAAACACACATATGTTCAATTTCATTATTCTTTCCTATATATTCAAAAAACACACACACAGCATCTAAAAGGTTTCAACCTTAGTGTCCAAAACAGCTAGTGACAGTAACCCTATCACACATAATATATTCATCAAGGATTCTACTTGAATGGAAGGGATGGAGGAAGTAGATTTGTTTGTGTGGGTATGTGAGTGCTTGCGCACCTCTGCCACCAGCTCGCCGTTCTCAGCGTGGACACGTGCGATGGCCCCGATGTCCTTACAGGTCTGCAGCGTCTGGTAGAGCTCCGAGTCCCTCAGCATCATCATGTCTTTGTAGGCCATGAACATCTGGAAGGAGTTTACCCCATGCTCCCTCACCAGGGTCTCCATCTCATTACGCACCTGATCACAAAGGTAAAGGTCAGAGGTCACAGATCTGTACCATTGATAGCAGCCAATCACAGCTGCGGTCTTGCAAGTTTTGGTTTGAATTTTTGTCTTCATTAGACAGTGACTTGCATCGAGCAATGAAAATATGTGTGTGTGTGTGTGTGTGTGTGTGTGTGTGTGTGTGTGTGTGTGTGTGTGTGTGTGTGTGTGTGTGTGTGTTATATGGGGCATAAACTGAGCTTGGAGAGCAGCCAGAATGAGATCTAGAGTAGTTTCCTCTGTGTTTCTCAGAAATGTTTGTCAATGTCAGTTGGATATGAAACCATTGTTCTGAAAATCACAAACCATGATCCACACACTTCAATAGCTGGAATAATATAATATTAAAATGAACAGCAAAGTGTTGACTAGTATGTAGACAATCTATTTATTAGTGTGAATTAATTGTATTATAAGTGCCAGAATACAAGATGAATACAAGTGTCTTTTCATACATGATGTTCAATGATAAAAGAAAGCTTGGGAAACAGCAACATGTTGCCATTAAAGCTGAAAACCTGACAGCAACAATTTTGTTAGTTGATTAATCATATGATTAATCAAGTTATTTTTCAAGCAGATTTTGCTGCGGAATTTGCTGCTTTTCTCTATTATAGATCACTGTGGACATCTTTGGGTTTTGGATTGTTGTCTGAAATGTGATGGGCATTTTAAAATATGTTTTGCCATTTAAAACCAAACAATTAATCAATTACAAACAAGAATAAAAAATCAAAGGCAAATTGAGTCCTGAGTAAAATAAAAATAAAAAACCTTGCTTTTAGCTGAAATGTAGCAGCCATTCAATAATTCATTTGTTGTCCCTTGATTTCAAGGTGGAAAAGCAGCATTAGACATTTTACTATATATAATAAGACGTGGCACATGCTCAGGGTCATCAGATGATATAGTACAAACATTAAAGCCAAAGGCTGAATGAGGCTCGTTGACTCATAGAATCTGCCTAATGTGCTCACTGAGCATATGTGTTAACCTAGTTTGTGTAAGGTTTAATCTAGGTCATTACACATTTCACCCATAAGTGAAAGTGTTTGGATGCTTTATTGTTCACTCCGTACAGATAAAAGACTGAGGAGTGTGACGGTAAAGAATGATATCTGTTTATAAACGATAGAAGTGGAAGAGCTTCCAGGCTGGTCATTGGTCTTGCTAAATCTTGAAACCTTGACCCCTCTGTGGGTCTATACCTTTGGTCCCCACCAGGTCACGCCGACATGCAGAGCGTAGTCACAGCACGCCTTGGCATCGGCCAGGGCTCGGCAGTTCTCATAGGCGTCCAGCAGGGAGCAGTGTTGTTCAGGCAGGGCCAGAGCCATCACCATGGTGGTACCACCCATCAGAGCCGCCTGGGTGAGGTGAGAGGATGAGAAGGGGTGAATTAGGGACGAAGGATGGAAAGAGGGAGAGAGAAAAGGGAAGACAGAGGGAGAAAAAGAACAGATTGATTAGAAAAGAAAACAATGATTCCACTGTAAAGAACACAGACTCTGTTTGTGTGGACGATGAACTGTTTTCTCATCATCATACGGTCTACCAGTTACTACTTGGATAAACTGATGGACGACGCACGTGCACTAAGTTGGTGAAATTGGCCAAATGTCACATGACACAAATAAAAACTAACTGATACACTCTGATAATGCAATGTTCTCTTGAGTGTAAAATTTTAACTTTTTCTAAGACACAACTTCAGAAAAAATGCTAATTTAGTCATTAGCAAACAAATTTTCCTTGGTTTGATACATTTATACCCCTATAGTAAACTTCTTTTATGACTGATGAAGACAGGCTGAATGTGGAGAAAAGTTAGAGGAGGACACAGAGAGAAAAATGAGAGGAGATTACAGGCTGGAAAATGGATGCAGTGAAGGGAGTGGTCTGCAGTGACTCGTCGCAGTCGGCTGAATGATAAATGCACTCTTGTGTAGCCATGACAACAGATACTGCTCAGCCATGCCTACCACATGTCCACACCCTCCTCCTCCTCCTCCTCCTCTTCCTCTTCCTTCTCTCACCATCCCAAACTGCACTGACAGTCACCCATTCAATATCCTCCAGCATATTGCACTGAAGAGTGAAGGGAAAACAGGCAGCAATCATTTATCAAACAGGAAATGAACACAGAGTTTGGAAACATTGCTTTTCTTATATGCTCTGTCCCTGCACTTCACACTAGAGACTTGCAAGAGAGCCTCATTCTCTCTTTAATTCACTTTCAACTCACTTGAGTCAAAATAAAAAGGTCACTACTAAAGTATCATTCATTCTCCATCATCTCTGACTGAATTTGAACATGGCCCTGATTTCTGTCAGCGTGGACTTGATACTCCAGACTCCAGATGTGTTGGAGACGTGGGCGGGCTCATCGGTTTTTCAGTGACAGCTCAATTACCCAACAAGCTCTTAGGTTTCACATTACCACAGTAACCAATCCAAATCATCTGCAGTCTCAGCATCGAAGGTCTCTGCACATGTGTGCACAACGAGTGTACTGTCATTGATCACTGTCAGTGTGTGTGAGAGTGTATCTTTGAGTGTGTGTGTGTGTGTGTGTGTGTGTCAGAGATCAGGGGACCCAGACACACAGCTGGGGATTGTAGGATTTACACTGCTTGTCTGCAAGACCTAAATTGAAATTTACTGCCAGTGCTCCTCTTTAAAAAAGAAGGATTGTGAAAGATGTGTTTATTGTGCCCTCTCCCACATCTTCAGCCCATGTGTATGTGTGTATTGAGTGTTATGAGTGTGCATTTTCATCAGTGTGATGGTTTCAGGGGGCAGTATCAGACTTTTCTCTGCCACGATGGAACAAAGGAGCTGTCTGCTGGTTGAAATCTCTTTCATCCTGCTCTCTTTTGTGTTTTTGCATCTGTAACTACAGGCACAAAATAAACATCCAATTTTAGACTGTTTGAAAGATAAAACTGCTCAGGAGGTTGAAGAAATACCAAATTATCACTAACAGGCAGTTCGTAAAACATAATCAGTCAATTCTGTTCTCATGAGGCTGTTTTTAACTGGTGTTGCTGGGCAGAGTGAATCCACCATTCAACAGAGTGTAGAAACCAAATTCACCCTTTCTGGTATGAAGCATTTGAAAAATAGTCTCTATTATGCAGGTTTCAGACATTTCACTTATAAAAACTTTAATAGCATAAAAACTTTAGTTTTTTTATACTGATTTATTGTGTAATTTAGATGGAACATGATGTATATATATGTATATATGAAATATATCTATGCATATTGTGTAGACAAGTCTGACCACAGACAGCATGTTTATCCTGTAGTAATACACTACATCATAGCATCTCCTGCCCCCCCCCCCCAAACCCCTTTGGTTCCTTCAACATATTACTGATCATTGACAGATGAAATAAAGTGGATAGGCACTCATAAACCCCAAACAGTGTTTTAACATGAATCCCCCACTGTATTAAAGACCAACAACCCCTACTGTGAAGATAATCCCCTGACTGGAAAGTAAAACAGCCTGATGAGAGCCACAGAGATGGAGGAGAGAGAGTGAAAATGTGTATCTGCTGGTGTGTGTTGGTGTGGGCAGTAGAAAGTGAAGCATCAGAAAATAGCACGCCAACGCACACATCACTGTAGTGATTCAATGCCAGAGCTTTATGGTACAGTATGGTCAGAAAATTTAGACAACTGATGTAAGTAATTTACCAAGCTGAAATATCAATCTTTCACTGGTTCCAGCTTCTCAAATGAGAGTGTTCACTGCCTTTCTCTGTTTTTCATATCATAGTAAATTAAACTTTGGTGGGTTTTGAGCTCTGTGTCAGACAAAGTGAGCGATATAAAGATGTGACTTAACTGTTTCCTTAAATCTTATAGACTGATTGTTAAATCAAAATAAAAAAATTACCCGGAAATGGAATTAATCATTACTTGCAGCTCTGGTTTCCAGTACGCCAATGAAAATTTATACTCCATTAATCAAGCTAGTTGCACCACAGAAGTTGTACATAGAAATCAGATCAATGGACCAAAAATGTCCTCTAAAAAATCTTGCTCTGCTGGATACTGTATGTATGAAAAAGCGGGAGAGAGGGGGAGACTCTGAGTGTGTGTGATGAGAGGATCTCTGTATGTTGGACTCTGGGAGAGGCTATCAGTGTCGGGCAGATTACCACTGCAGCTCTCTGATCAGCCTCTATCAGCACCACTCATACCTCACATTACAGCTGAACACCTCACCTTCTTTCACACACACACACCCCTCCCTCCCCCCTCGACCTCATCTCCCTCCTCCTCTTACGCTCGCAGAGACATTAAAGCGATCTCTGCAGTGTCTGCTGGGATAGATACTGCTCAGGCTACATGTCAGGTCAATATTAGCTATCAATCAGCAGTCAATCTGAAATTCTAATATGACAGATATGATTGATCAGCACTGCACTGTAAAGACTGATTGTGTATAACAGTGAGAGTAGCTCAAAATTAAGTGCAGTATAAGTACATTATACCATATTCTGTAAGTAGTTAATAGTACAAATGTTGTAATAATAGATATTGAGTGTTATCGTGGTTTGTAGTCTGTAGTTTAAGTGGTCTAAATTGTGTTTAAAAGGCTTTTAAAAACTGATTTCTGATAACTTGTAAGACTTCTATAACAAAATGTAAATGCAGGAGAGGGTTTTCTGGTGATGTCATGGACCCTGACATATCTAGGAGAAGCTGGTATTAGCAGTGACAATATATTTGCATTTCCTGTTACTGGAGTTAAGGTATGGGATTAGTAGTGTTGCTAGACAACAAATGCAAAAACAAGTTTTTCATTCAGCTTTGTTCAGTTCATACATTTTAAGGTAAAACGCAGTAGGTAAAACACAACACAACGTCAAGTGCTGCAAGTGCCTAAATATAACTATAAAAAAGGTTATAATACTGTGGTCACTGCAAGTGTATTGTACTGCAAGAGCAAATATTTCGGTGGAAAAAAAATACTTTGTGAACATTTTACTGATCCGTTCAGTATCAACATGTTTTCCACTCGATAAATATGTAAATTAACAACATATCCTCATAAAATTTAAATATCCTCTAACGTTAATAGAAAATGTAATCCGCAGCGGGCACCTTAGTATACCCTTATACTGAATAAAACATTTACTTTTGTCCTGAGGAAATTCTTTATTGATTTGCATATCTGACTTCTGTTAAGGTTAAGTGAACATACAATACAGCTCAATAACTGGACACAAAACCTCATTACAAGATGAGCGACACGTATAAACAGGTCTGCATCTACGCTGGACCTTTCTACTTTCCACCATTCGATCCTGTTATATAAATTGTCCCTTACTGCAGATCAGTATGAGGCTTTCCTGGGGGGGAACAGGGGGTGAGACAGCAGGGGGTGAAGCAGAGGAAACAGCAGGGAAGGAGAAAGAGAGGAGGAAGGAAGGAGAGGGAGCAGACTGTTACAAAACGATGGGAGGGAGAGAAGAGGATGCGGGGGAAAATAGTTTTGGGGTTCATCCAAATTGCACATGAGCCATTGCCACGGTAACACAGTCACCATAGGGACTACACAATACTACCATGGTCATATGTTCTCTCACACACACACACACACACACACACACTGCTCCCTCTGATTACCACACTAAGAGTGGGGGTTAGTTGCCATGGCAGCGAGGTCAGTGGGTAGGGGTTAGTAACGTGGGGGTTGCTGTGGTAAAGCTGGCATATGGAGGATTCAATCCCCCCAAATTCCTCTCACCACACTTCAGTTGGCATTCCATTAGACCCAGGCCTCATTTCACTGCAGCACTGCAAAGTCCCTGCAGTTCATATAATTTTCCATAAAATCTTCAAAATGCACTGGCAATGTTATGAAGATGAAAGCTACTGGAAGTGCCTCAGATATCCAGTTAATCTCTTGCTGTTCTTAGAGGCCAGTCAAGTAATTGTACTGAACAGAAAGAACGCAAACCTGCCACGTTCGGTGGATAAATGGAAACAACGAATGTTAAACACATAGGGATGAAACAGGGCCTTTTCACAGCAGACATTTCTATTTGTCATAGTAGAAAAAGGCCTATTAAGTATTTCAAAATCATGGTTTGAACGAGCTTCTATTCGTACCTTACTGTACAAAGTCAGTAATTGGTTGATTAAGTTGGGTAGTGTATTCACAGAAAATGAATCAGCAACTATTTGAACTGTGTCTCATATGTATGTTTTTCTTTCTCTGTTGTCAGTATGACACAGTGACTGAAACACAGCCAAATATGTTAATCAGCAGACACTTTCAAGCCATTTCCAAGCTGCTGCTCTGCACTGCTAAAATCGTGATTTCATAACAGTGAGGTTGTCTGAGAAAATCAACAACAGTTGAAGACCATGACTGCGCTGTGATTTCAGCTATATTTACTTCTAAATTGATCACTTTAAGGTGTCAGCACTGTTTGTTAGCGCCAAATCATTTCAAAGAAGCAACGACCAACTCGAACTCAAATACTCAGTTGGCTGACCAATGGTATAACTTCATCAGTCAGTCAGTCAGTCAGTCAGCAACAGACATTTTTGTTTATAGGATTGGCCCTGCTGTTGTGGTCCAGTCAAAAACTATGCTAGGCAACAACAAAAAAAATGTCCCACAACATCCTCCAAAACATGCAATAGGCAACACACTTGGATTTTTAAGTCTCCTATTCATTTAATCATCCTCTCTGCTCTGAGTCTCTGGGAAATATGGAAAATATGCAGATCATCCATCGGAAATGAACTAATAAACCCAGTATGAATGAAGACTGAACAGCTGTGAGTTTGAGTGTGTAAAAAGAGAAGTCTTTGCTTTCAACCAGAAACTTGTGACAGCTGTTTCGGCTTGCTTCATATAGGACCAGTGTGAGAACATGTGTTGTCATTAGTCTTAATGATGAACGTAAGAAGCTGAACGAAGGGATGAATATTTGAATATAGACAAGACAGAGAATGAGTGAGAGAGAAAGTATGTCTGTGTGTGACAGCTGTCTCTCGATTCTAAATGTGTTTAATCACAGGCATGCTGACGAGCCTAGTCATAGCTGTGGGTGTGTGTGTGTGTGTGTGTGTGTGTGTGTGTGTGTGTGTGTACCTTGGTCCCACTGTAGAAGTCATCCTGGATGCTGGCGTTCATGAAACTTTCCTGCAGATGCACGCTGGTGTCTATTCCGCCCGGCAGCACCAGCTTTCCAGAGGCATCGATCACCTTGGCCCCGCCTGGTATCATCAGTTCTTTTCCAACCTTCCAGAGAGAACACCAACAGAGAGGTTTCATACAATGGCCACAGTGAGTGCTTGATCCTGATTTTTAGCCTTGATAGTGGTACGGCTTGAGGGATAGCAATGTTGGTCTGTCACTCAGTCGGCCAGTCCACCACTTTGTTCCAGACAGAAATATTTCAAAACCTCTTGGATGGATTAGCTTGAAATTTCACGGCCCATGGAGGATAAATCCTACTGATTTTGGCAGCAGGTCAAAACTGCCATTTATCAATTGAAATATCACAATATGGTGAAAATGGTAAACATTATCTGCTAAAAATCAGCATGTTGGCATGCTCACCCTAGCTTTTAGCTGAAAGCACCGCTGCGCTCATGTACAGCATGGCTGCAGAATCTTGGTCTTGTTTCAAATAACCACAACACTCTAATTGATCACCTTTGTAAATTTAATCTCATATTTGTAAGGGTGCTCATTTCATATGTTACTAAGCTATAGCTTCTACTATAGCCTAGTAAATGAGTAGTAAATGATCACTCCAAAGTTGACAGTTGACAGTGCCAACACGTACAATATTATGCATTTGAATGGGAGTGTCATGGAGCTGCAAGAGAAAAGCCACTGTAACATTCTTAGCCTTTACCTCATCCATTATTTTTTTGTATTCACCCACATAATACCTTGGAGTAATCAGAGTGAACAACTTGTAACTTCATGTAAGCATTTTATGTGCCCTTAAATGGCTCAATGGCGACAGAGCAAGGTGGTATATATCCTTACCTATTTTGTCAGTTTGAGAATCATTCAAAACCACAGAATGGTGAAAAGTAAACCCTATTCACAGGTTGGACATGAGCACCTTCTGGCATCAACACTGTTGTTGCAATGGAAATAATAATTGACAAAGGGAACAACAGCGCTCATGTGCTGCCATGGCAGCAGAGTGTTTCAGCAGAAGTACAGATGAGCTTTCCAGGTTTCTGAGTCAAATGCATCCTCTTCACACAAACCGATGCTTATTTCCATGACAGCATTCTGTGAACTAAATATAGCGTTCACTATCACTGCGCAGAGCCACAGAGTTCACTGAGTCGTTCATTCTCTTCATACTGTATTATGGTGAAATGAGTCACACTAACAGCTGGGTATATATTTGACAGTGAATGTGAGGTGATGTATTTGTGCGTGTGCCGGAGGAGAAATAAATGATGCAGTATGTATTTCAATGTGTATTCAATGACACTGACTAAAAGTCCATTTGCATGCTGGAAAAAGAGTGTTAATGTGGGTTACCTGCTGAATGATGCCATTCTCAATGTAGACATCTGCTTCCTGGGTGAAATCATCGTTCACCACCTTCCCTCCCTTGATAAGGATACGCATGGACCCCATGTTGGCAGCCATAGTCCTACCAGAGGAACAAAAAGGCATTTAACATCGATATCTCAACTTCTGTTAGGGAAGCTTATTGAGAGAAATGTGAAATGACCAAGAAAATGCTGCTGCATGACTCATTTGGCATGTTTGAGTGACAGCCCAACTGGAAACCCCTCATTTTTTTCAGCCCAGAACACTCCTTCCACAAGACCAATGTTTCTGAACACAAATGCATTTCACCACAAAGTAAATGATAGTTTGTCTAATGGTAACCACTGCTTGCTCTTTCCTTCCAAGTCTTGGCTTTATCTGGAGTATTTGTGAGAGATACTGCAGACAAACACAGAAAGATTGAGCCTTAAAAATAGGTATTACTTGAATGGAGGCAGAAAAAGAGGTAGATAAGAAGATCAAGCCAGATAAGCAAAAATAGTCCTGATAGTGGGCAAAATATAGTGTTCTATGATTGTCTAAATGATATGTGTGAAACTTAACTCAAGGTTGGAAGCTCCAGAAAAAGTAAGTGAACTAGTAAGTGGACCGCAATAATCAAAATTTTGTGTCAGGGGTTAACCAAACCCCTGGCAAAAATGAGTGAATAATACTTCCTTTTCAGTATTTGAAACAGTCCAAAGGATATTCAACTTCAATCAAATTGTACTTGTTTTCAAAAACCTGCCCTTGCATATCTCTGCAGGAACCTGGCCTTTCCAAAGGTCCTTTTCACAGTCCTTCACCAACAAGAATGATTGCAAAAGGATCAACGACATCCTGACAGGCATTGTGGTGCCTTAGCAGAAAAATACAAAGTCTCAGATGTGGATTTTGGGAGTGAATGTTTTTCACAGCCTTTGTCGCAGAAATTAGATGAATATAACTCAATCAGAGTCTGCATTGTACCAATCTGTTTTTTAATTGTATTTTTCTTCTGAGTTACTTGTAACTTTTTGTCCCCGGAAACAGAAAACTTCCTCCAAGCTTTTAGTGAGTCAGCTCAGTCTATGAAATATTAAGAGGTGAAAAGAGGATCTATAATTTACAAATCTATTACAGCATCTGTGGGAATATAACAGATTCTCAGAGTTCTGCAAGGATTGATGGAAAGTATAGGCTGGAGGAAGAAAGCTGGTTTAAAATGACTAATAACAATAGCTGCAGGGTTTTACAATCTCCTTCAAGGAATCACATATAACTTCTGTTTGTAGTGGACATGTTAAAGTGGATGCAACTGTCTAGAGCTAAAACGATTAGTCAATTAATCCGAAGAATTACTAATTAATAACTATTACTAATTGTTGCATAACTATTCTAATAACCCTATCGAATCGTAATAAATAGTTAATAATAGTAATTTTTTGAGCAAACATTGCACACATTCCCTTGTTGCAGCTGTTCAGGTGTGAGGATTTGCTGCTTTTATTTGCCTTATGTGAAGAATAAGGTTTTGGAGTGAAGCAATTTGCAGATATCATTTTATACGTCAAAAATAATTTAAAAAATAATGCAGATTCATTCATAATGAAAATAATTGTTAGTTGCAGCCCTACTTTCTAGAAATGTATAAAGCATGGTGAAATAAAATGATCCTACAAGGCTTTTGGTTAAACAACATGGATCTAATTAACCTAATTTCAGGCAATTTTTGCTGTATGTTGCACAATGAGCACTTTTCAAAATGAGTGCCTGAGAACGTTTCCCTGCCCCCTCCGTTACAAGAGATAATGATAACTTCTGGCAATGGTAATTTCAGGTTGTGTTACAGTACATGTAGAACCCATTTTATGTGTTTCATAGACTCGTGCTCAATCGAGGAATCTGATATTTCATTTTCGATAGGTTTACACATTTTATAATTACAGTAAAAAAAAAGCTGAGTCTTGTATTTTTGAACTTAGAGACAATTTTGAGAATTGTCAGCTTGTTCAAAGTGTCTTGCTATAATGAGAGTGGGATTGTTTTTTTATACATTTTACTTGCAAGGATAAGTATAATACTATATGTGGCTTAAAATCAACCAATTAACTCCCAGGTTCCCATCAAATAAAATATATTTTGATTGAATATAATAAATGACAAATTTGTGCTTTGTAATTTAATATTTTGCAGAATTTAGTGTTTTATGTATAAACATATTAGAAATTATATTGTTTATTCAATGTGTTTTACTAAGTAGAGGTCTTACATGTGATACTTTCAGATTATTATTGAAAAAGCAGCTTGATTAAGGCTAATGAGATCAACAAACTGAGAGGACCTTCTACAAACATTCCTCTGTGTGTATGTGTGTATTCTGCATGGATGGCTATATGCAATGTGTTTGATGGCAGGACACAATAGCCTCCCAGTCACACAGAATCAACTCAAAGAGATGGAGGAGAATAGAGAGAGGAAGGAGAGAAGAGAGGAGGGGGACGACAGTGGAAGAAAGAGAACAGTGAAAAGAATAACGAAGAGAAAAAAGCCTGAAATTTGTATCACAACCAGATGAGATGGGTGCAATACTTAAAGGAATACATTAGATTTGGTTTTCCTGTTGTGGAATTTACTTTTAAAGTAATAAAATCATATAGTAGATACCAAAAATCATTCATGTATGCCTCACATACAAATAGTCAATCAGTGCATTGGGTTAAATAATAGTAAAACCAGTGCTAACAATAGTTACTGCTCCAAATACAGAGGTGGGGTCAAGCTCAAATTCAGTGTGAGCAGAAAAGAAGAGAGTAAGAAAACAGCAGTTATTTTCAAGAAAATATTCATACTATCTGGCTTTGCTCTAAGCCATACCCTAAGCTTATTCCTTCAGCATTGAAGATAAATCATTTGGGATCAGGTCAGACTCCAGTTGAGCTCAGAGAAGATTGAGGGGAGAAGAAGGGATAAAAAAAAAGAGATAGATAACTTAAAAAAGAGAGAGGCACAGGAATAAACATGGCCACAGAAAGAGTCCATGATAGAGGAAGAAGAGATGTAGAATAAGAGTAAGAGGGAGATGATTGTGAAGAGATGAAAGGTAAAGTGATCGTGGTAAACATGGCAGTGGTGCTGGGGGGTGTGCAGTATGGAAAGCAGCGCCCTAAAGGCCTGGCAGCCAGAATAAAAGATTGGTTTCCCAGGAGATGAGAACTGGAGCGCTTTCAGTGGAAAAAAGGCTACACACACACACACACACACACACACACACACTCACACACACACACACACACAAACAAACACACACACACACATGTAGTATGGTGAGGCATACTAACACACCAAGACTGATTTGCCATTTCAAATTAATTTGTTATAAAATCAACACAAACACAGACGATACTGTTTGTAAAAACCCGACCTGCTGACCTTTAATTGTAGTGCCCCCATCAGACCGATCAGTACAGTGGAACTGTTTACTTATATTTATAAGTTTAATTTAAATTTACTTACTTATGAATATCAAAACAGATTTACAGGAAAGATGTTGTATTCTGTTGCGGATGGTTAAAACTTTTTGAGTGCTATCTTTTGTTTATGAATGTTTCTGACACTGGCAATTAGAGAAGACATGAATTGATTAGTTAATTAACATAAAATAATCTATCTATCTATAAATCTAAATGTTTAAGTCACATTTTGAGCAGAAATACCCAAAAATGTTTTGATTACAGCTTCTCCAATAAGAGGGTTTGCTTATTTTCTCTGTTTTATATCATGGTAAACTGAATGGGGAACTATAATGGGCATTTTTCATTAATTTTATGTACTAAATTAACCATTGAATCGTTGAGAAAATTATCTGTAAATATTGATAATAAGAACAACTACAGAATTAGATTAATTGGCATTACTAGAATAATTAGTGGTAGTGGTACTATCCCTTTAAAACTTTATGTGTTAACTATGTTTAAATGGCTGTTTATATAGGGCCTGTTGTGTCTGATTAAGGATTAAATGGTAGATGTTCCCCTTATTTTGTTTTCAAAAGCTGAAAAATATTAAAAATAAGGTATTTTTCTGCAAGCAGAAACAAACTACATGTAAGTCTTTAGCAGTAATAAATGATACTGATGCTGCTGAGTCTCTATCAATTGTACAGAAAGTGGTCTGCCACTGTCCAGCCACAGACTCACAACAAATCCAATAGAAACTGACACCACACTGCAAACAGCGGAAGATACCGGCTCCAGCAGGCCTGGTGCCAAATCAAAGGACTGATTGAGTTCTGCTGCTAAATACATACTGCCAATTTTATTCAGTTCAGTGCTTTTATTGGCATTAAACCCTGATGTTATTACCAAACATAAAACAGAATATAATGGACTCAAACCTGCTTCTGGCAAACACAAATTCACAACAAAAGCACTGGATGAAACTGATCAATCACTTACATTATTGGACATATGGCATCTAGTGTTTGTTTGGTTCTTTTTGTTCTGTCCCTGATGTCGGCATGTTAAACATTTCAATACAGTCCAGTAGTTTGTTTTTCATTTGAGCTTCTTGCAGATGTGAGAAAAAAAGGAAAAAGAGTGAGTAGAAGAGAAAAACAAATAGTAAACTTGACAGAAAGAGGGCGAGGTGGACAGAAACAGAGTAATGCCTACATGAAATTTTGGCCTCTATAACTGATATTTAAAGGCTGAAGCTGCTGTTGTCACTATTTTCCAGTCAGCTCTGTCCAAACCCACACAGCTGACTGACTATGTGTGTGGGAATGGGAACGCTGACTAAACAGACCACTGCACCGGACACTGAAGGCTTTGTGTGTCTGTAAGGACTGTAAAGCTAAAGGAAATTAAAGTCAACTTATATAATTGACATTCTGGACAGTGACACCTTTAATACTCACAAACACACAGTAAGCCCTCCAGCTGCTCACAGGAAGGGAAAATAAAAATCACAGTCATTGTAGATCATCTTGCTTTCTGTAGTACTCTGCATTCTTTTTATGAACTAAGATTCTCCGGCTGTAATCCTGAATCATGTTTGGTTAAAAATGTATTTCTAAAACCATAAAATATAGCAATGTTTACATCCTAATGTTTACAGCCTAATCCTATTTTTTCTTTTTTAGAGAATTTATAATAATACACAACCACATCCAGTGGTTTCTGTATCTATATTCACATTTAAGAAGTTTGATGGAAGATGTCTAGACACTGCAAATATTATTCAAAATATTAAATAAGCATATGTTTTACAATATGTATCGTCATTTTTCAAAGAGTGTAAATGCAGAAAAACAGTGACTCTCAGTCAGCAAACAACAAAACTGTGCATCATAGTCATCATCTGGCCTTCTTGCTCTCCATAATCAATTATACTGCTTTACCATCGGGCTTCAAACTATCATTTCCATCATGGATTAATCTGCTGATTATTTTCTGTCAGAAAATAGAGGAAAAATATCTCATAATTTCCCCTCAGTTCAGGATGATGTATTAAAATGGACTGTTTTATTCATTGTTCAGCCAACTAAATCAGTGAAGTGGAGTTCTTGCTTATTTTTATCCAAATGCATATCAGTGATATTTTTTTTGGATTAGACACACAGACTTTTTTCAGATTCTGTGGGTCAACTTGAAGTGATTTGAGGCAACATGAAGAAATGTGATGTAACTTGAGGTGAACTAGGAGACGTGATAAGACATGAAGCACAGTGAGGTGTTGTGAGGCATAGTGAAGCGCTGTGATGTGACATGATGCAATGTGAGGCGTTGTGAGGCGACGTGAGGTGACGTGAGGTGACGTGAGGTGACGTGAGGCAACGTGAAGCAACATCATGAGGTGCAGCCATTGGTTCTGTTCTTAAGGTCATCTTGGTATGTCATGGCCTCAAGATTAGCATCACAGAGCAACTGTCTGTGTCTGCAAAGGCAGTTTGAAAAGGTACATTTCCTTTGTCACACTAAAACATGAGATGGCTTCATGTGGACGGAAGGTTGAGATCAAAGATTACATCTAAAAAAGTCGACCCTGTTGTCTGCAGCAGTTACATGGCCTCACTAACCGTGTCCAAACATTTCAACTCCAAAAAACCACTAAGCTGAAAATCACAGATCTATTTTAGACTTTTTCAGTGTAGGTCTACAGTGTGAGTGTGTGTTTGCTTTCTGCTGTGTCATAGTGGGTATGAGAGACAGTCAGAGACACACACACACACACACACACACACACACACACACACACACACACACACACACACACACACACACACACACACACACACACATATACATACACAATGACACACCAGGCAGCTTTTCTCACTCACCCTGTAACCTGCTGCTTCAGCACACACACACACACAAATGGAGAAATGCACACTCACAAATAGATGCACATGCACACAGTAATTACCCATACACACACAAACACCTTATGCACACAATTTAACACACATGCACACAGACACACCCTCACTTTTCTCCTCTGTCTGTGCAGACAGCTTTTTTAAATGGGGGTGATAATTAATAATGAATGAGGAGCAGCAGGCAGGCTAGACCTAGACTCCCAATGTCACATCATCACAATGTCGCAGACACACAGCATCATGACAACATACTGCAGTCATACCGGACACACAACCACTTCACAGTCTGTGTATAAACTGTTTCTGCATCATCAACGTTACTGAACAAGAAAAGTGACTGTGATTCTTTCATTGAGGAATCAAAAATAATTTCTGTCCTTTCCATAATATAGTAAATCTAAGACCTTGAAAACTACAAATTATAACGAACAAAAAAACACTATATTAATCAAGAAATTCATTATAAGTATGTTTAAATCTTTTTAGCAGAGGCAGAGGTGCAGTCAGAAATAAAAAGAAAAGCCAGCTAAAGAATTAAACCTTCAGACAGTGATCAAGAAAGTCAAATCTATTTTTAGAAAAAAGCCTGCATGTTTAGAAACAGTTTAAATTTGACATAGTAGCTGCTGACATCCTCAGATGTCTGTTTCTGAGCAAGTGCAGACTACATGTGTGGCATGGAAATATGTGAATGTGTGTGTGTGAGTGTGTGTGTGTGTGTGTGTGTGTGTGTGTGTGTGTTGATGCATGGTGTAAGTGAGAAGAAAGGAGTAGACAGCTGCTGACTCCTGCTTGATCTGGAGACTAATCGCCACAGGGAAGGATGGCGTACAGTGTGTTTGTGCACACGTGTCAATTTGTGTGTGTGTGTGTGTGTGTGTGTGTGAACAACAGAGCTATTTAAAAATCGAGAACAAACGTGCATCAGACAAATTTACAACCAATTGGAAATAAGAATAGACATTAAACACTCACACACACAAGCTAACACACCCACACACACACACACACTCAAAGATACACTCTCACACACACTGACAGTGAGTTGTGGGTTCTGCTGGAGGGTCATGAATGAATAAGCTAATAGTGAATAGTGAATCACGCACAGATAAACAGACAATAACAACAGCAGCCACACAACTAACTAGGGCATCACTCTTAGGATTAGGAGCATCTCTCTCTCTCTCTCTCTCTACGGGAGATTGTACTTGTGTCATATTGTACCTGTGTATTTTTGTGAAGGATGGACAGATGTATCTCCTTATTTTCCTACACTTTCTGTTTGCCTTTGCCGACTACTCAAGAAACTAGCTAAGAACGTTTTTAAAAAGATACTCATTTTACCTTTGACATTTAGTCTGACCTACCCGGCAACGTTTCTCTGGTGCCACCTACAGGCAGAAATATCCGTTTTGATGGGAAGATTTATATGACATTTATTGAGTATTAGTTATACTTCTCAGAGGATGAATCCTTTTGATTTTAAATGACCTGAATATGTTTCTCTTTTACTGCAGCCATTAGAACAAACTTTACATGATTAGCTCTGCAGCTGGGGAAAGTCCTGATGTTCTCCAAAACTGACACAGATGCATACGTTTTTCTATTTATACTATATTGGGTGTCTGCATAGGCGGACGTATTCAGATTTACATACAGTATGTGTAGTTGGAACATATGGTCTGTATACTCCAAAGTGGATGTTGAATGGTCAAACCACACCACACCCCACACCTTTCCAGCGTCATAAGAGTAGCTGTTTCCTAAAAGATTTGTAACTTGAAACCAAAAAAAAATAAATCCTCCAATCACGCCCGCTTCACGCAGCAGCTGGCCAGGTGTCGACAAAAACATTTATCATCAAACTATTTTGATAATCACATTTTTCAAGGAAAAATACTGAGCATTTCTTGGTTCCAGCTTCTCAGATATGAGAATTTACTGCTAGTTAACTGAATATCTACTGGTTACTGAATTCAAAGAAGAGACTTTTGGATGTTGGATGTTTTCAGACATTTTCCAAACCAATTGATCACTCGACAATAAATATGATCTGCTTCATAAATAGGGTGAACAATAGGCCAGAAAGGTTTGACCAAAGAACCTTTTTGCTGTGGGGCAACATTGCAAACCATTGCACCACTCTTCCACCCATCCCTGGTAACTGCATAAAATATTTACTGAGTGCTGTCATGCAAACTTGAGAATTTTGGTTTCTTGACTCATTTTGTGGACTAAAAAATAATCCGTGATAATAATGGAATAGATGCAAACTATTGTAGTATACCATGTGTAAGTCAACAGTTGCTTCATCTTTCTAATGTATTCAATTCACTGTGCTGCACTGAGGACCCCTGAAGCCCCCTTAAAAAGGATTCTTAAACCGAATGACGTGAAGGCCTCAACACTCCCTTATCCACAAACCAAAGCAGGTCTGTGTGCAAAACCCTCCACACAGAAACCAACAAAGGAAGAGGAGGTAAAACAGAGAATCATATCACCTGTTCAGTGCAAAATGCTGTACTCAACTACACACACACATACACACCAGCAGGCTCGTTTGTATGCATGACGACACCTGCATACCCCCCTCTTCATCACTACCATTACTCAATATATTTGGTAGAACAGAGAATAACCTATAAACGAATAGCAGACTTACATAACGGGCAACACACACACGCACACAGCCTTAAATTGCACTGATGGCACGCCAAACACACACACACAGACAAACACACACACACACACACTCACATCTCACCCATATTTCATCGCCACACGATGCTTGCTTGCAATCAACCAATCGTTCATTTTCCACTGGATCCATGTGAAATTCACATTCTGTCATTCATTTTTTCGTTATTGGAAAAGAGAATCTCGCATTCATTTGTAAATTCCCATTCAAATGTAAACGGAAAAGCACGTCATTTGGGTGGTTAAAAATGTAAAATAAGCGACAGAAATATCTGACATTAAGCTAATTTAACGTTAACAAATGGGAAATTAACTGACAGTAGAATCTTTCGACTATTAACGTTAAACGAGATATAACGCATCATTTTATGGTTCTAAATGAGAATATTTGTGCTTAAAATTCATCTGTATTGTGAATTACTCCTACAATAGAGAAAATAAGCCCTGATATTTTAATATTCATAACATTTTGGGGTGTTTCTTACCCTTTTTCCAGGTTTCCAGACCTTCCACAGCCGGAGCTTCTTACTCACTCTCCGTTGCCCAGCACCAGCCGAGTGCGCGAGGACAGCTGGCACAGCGCGAGCCGCAAGATGCTTCTTCACCAACCGTCCCGCAGCAGCCAATCAGAAAGCCTTCGGATCAGAGCAACAGAAAATCTGACCAATAGGATATGAGATGTGTCTATAGAAGGGGTCTCCGTTCTAAGCAGGCAGGGGCGTGTCTGCTGCTTTGGGTGCTGCCTTCATATGCTGTTGGAAATATGGCAACGAGTGCCCCAATATCTTAGAGGATGGTGTACAGCATTATAAATGATTGCTGTATGTATAAAAAACACTATTTTACACAAATACAATAACAACAAAATAAAATATCATATATTTGTCCACATTATTCTGTTATTTCTTTTTATTGTTTTATGCTTTGTTTTAGGTTTTTAGGCATTTTAGCTGTAATTTTGCAATATTTCAAATTTCATATTTTATTTATTTCACTTAAATAAATGATCTTTTCTGACTTCTTAGCCTGTCTGTTCAGCTACTGTGACATTTACATTTCCTCCAGGGGATAAATAAAGTCTTTTCTTATTGTTAATTTGTTTTTTGTAAAGCCCATAGCCTACTGTAAAATGTCTCATTGAGCATTATAGGCCCACATAATCATTGCTCTCAAAAGACAACAAATTCCCCATTAATAAATTTAACAGTCATAGTGAGAAAGGTTATTCTTTCTAATATTCAGACGTAAAGATGTAAAGGAATGAAAACATCAGTTACCAACATCTACATTTTCTCTATTTTGTTCAGCTGCTGCATCAACAAATAAGTTATGCACTGACTGATCTCTTAGATTTACCATCAATCAACAGAAATCCTCTTTAGCTACAGCACTGAGTTTGGTATTATTTCAGACCTGCAATGCTTGAATTGAAATGCAACAAGTGTTTACAAGGAGCACTTGAAGGCAACAATATGGAGCTGAAGATCCACAGTATGGAGACAGGACTGTTCTCCTTGGCAGCATGGCTGGCTGCAGCTGTGGTATATGTGTATACATATATAAAAGCAATGGCGGGTGAATGACTGAATATCATTTGAGAGATATGACTACTATTGCACGCAAGTTAGATTGGAAGGAAAATACTCAGCAGTAATGAGCAGTTCACATGGTGACTATCTTAGCCATATGGACTCCCAATATTTAATTCAGTCTTTTTCTTAATCTACGCTTTTTATTATGACAAAAACTACAACACTAATTTGAATTTTACCATACTTAATTAGTGGCCATTTATACCTTGACATAATCCATTATGAGGCAGAAGTACTGACATTAGGTAGGTCATTGAGACTTATCCTAGTAGCTGAGTAAAATGTCTACATGCGTGCACTTAAATGGTTGGAGTTCAGTTTGTGAGAATTGAAGCCTTGCAACTTTCCTGGAGGCAGTGTAAATCAACAAAACTTCACATATAGGTCATACACTGACAGTAAGGGTGTACCAATTTCAAATCAAATTATTAGTATGTGATTTCAGTTACTAAAATAGGAAGGGTTGGGCGTTGTAGGTCAACTCCTGTCTCAACAAACTCTCACAAGTCAACAAACTGTCGCTGGCAAGAGTTTCATCTGTAACAAGCACAGACAACAGACGAGGAAAATGCTGAGTGTTATTGTGTTGATTTGATGTCAGCAAACTCTGCTGAGCCACAATGGAAAACAACGAGGGAACTGACATCAAAGACACTTAAATAAGCTGTTAAAAAAAAAAAACTGACTTGGATTTGAGTGGTTATACCCCTTACTGACGTACAGTTAGATAACACTGAAACTTTAGGCTGAATCACAAGAAACAGTCCTTTTTTATTCACGGTTCATTTCTTACATTGTTCAAGTACAAAGTTAAAATGCCTTTTTAATTAGTTCATATTCATACAAGAGTAAAATAATAATAGTGCCTTTTCATTACTACGACAAACTTAAATACAGTCATTGTAAAGACAAACTTGATTTATATTCCTAACAATATATTTTTCTTATTTTCAGATAAAATTTTAGCACCTTTTGAAACACCACCAGGTCCTCCTTTTTCCTCAAATCTCATCTTTCATTTAGTCCATGAGATGAGTGTCTGCATGCGCCACAGCATTGTATTTGTAGGTGTTGTGCATGTATCTCTGCGTCTGAGCGCTGTTCGCTCTGTGTGTCAATAACAGTGTTTTGTGTGTATTTGTTTGTAAGTGTATCAGTGTTTAAAACAACGCATCACTCAGCCTAAAAGCTGTCGATAGGCGAACAGAAACATCATCACCGTGTCACCCGTCATTTAAAAATATCGACTCCATCCCTCGCGCTTCTTTCCGACTGCACTCTCAAACAGATACACGTTGAAATAACACCAACTCTGTTGTTGGTGAATACAAAAATGAGCTGAAAAGAAGCCAGGGGCTCACAAGTTTTTTGGTTTGTCTTCCCAATTTCAGGAAACTTGGCCTCTTGCAATCTATGATATAACCAAATTATTATTATTATTATTATTGTTTTCCAAATTCATACTTTTATATACAAGATAAAACTCAAAGAGTGAAGTCTACAAGATAATTTCATGTCTTATTTTCAAATTTATTTACTCAGCAAAGGTCAGTTTTCAAGCAGATACAGTGCAGAGGTCCAAATGTATGGAGGAAAAAATATATAAAACTCTATTTTATAATCTTCTATATATTTTTTTTTAAATGTTATAACATTGTAATCCCCAACCTTTTTGGCTTGTGAAAATGGAGCAATGTGACTTTTGTTTATTGCATTTGTCTCATTTTTTTTTTAGAAGCTATCTAATGTTTGACTGAGAATCAAGAAATATGACTAAGAGTAACAAAAAGTAAACTCTTTAACCCTTTAATCATCTTGTGACCCCCTCAGATTGATCTTAGTATCCACTGACAAGGTTGTGAACAACTGTTGTAGCTTGTATATATTTTACAGAGGCTTATTCACCTCTCTGCACATTAATTTTCATTGTTGTTTGTGCATCATTAGTTTGGTTTTAACATGTGCAAATTAACAAAACAAGTATTTTCAGTATTTTCAGATTTTCTAATATAATAGCAAATTGAACATCTTCAATCAAATGTTTGGTAACCAGTGGACACTTCTGTATTCCGCTTCAACTTAAGGAAGCAAAATACAGGACTGATTACAGGCCTGATTTCTGGCTCTTTATTGATGAAGTTGTTATAATTTATAGTTATATCTCAGGCATCTGTTTCACAACACTTCATTCAGCGTTATTTCAACTCGTCTCTTGTTTGAGAGTGTCCTGTAGCTCATCACTTAAACAATTTCTTCTGGCATCCTCAGATACAAAAGAACAAGTCACTATACTAACTGTAATATATGCTTTCTCTAGCCTCCCTCTCTCCCCTCTAGGCTGAGACTGAACTGAACTGAGCACCAACCTGGAACAGTACACACACACAATAACAGATTATTATTGTAATATTATTACCATTATTTTTATTATCATTACTCCCTAATCTAACATGGAATTGGAGATTACACTGACTGACTGACATGCAGCACCTGGGTGGGGTGGGGTGGGGTTAGGTGGGGTGGGGTGGCAGGTGAGGGTTTGGGAGCACCAAGTGACGCTGGGTGGTGATGTCACACCCAGCGGCACCGTGGGAAGCCTGATGGCAACAGGCGGCCGGCTAAAACACAGTGTGTATGCTTGTATGTGTGTGTGTGTTAGTGAAGTCTTTTGTAGCGGAAGGAGTTTAGAGAAGCATGAAAGTCGGCACCGAGTTTGTGTGTTTGTGTGTGTGTGTGTGTGTGTGTGTGTGTGTGTGTGTGTGTGTGTGTGTGTGTGTGTGTGTGTGTGTGTGTGTGTGTGTGTGTGTGTGTGTGTATATGTTTGAATGACCTGCAATAGCACTGTAAAAAAGAGCAGAGTTTAAAAAGCACCTGAAGGTTGGTTGTATAAATGGAGAGTAAACATGATGGAAAAACACTTTGAACCTGCTGGTTTATTGTTGGTTTTTGTTGCTGTGTGTGTGTGTGTGTGTGTGTGTGTGTGTGTGTGTGTGTGTGTTTGTGTGTGTGTGTGTGTGTGTGTGTAGACTGCATGTGTCCAGTTGTTAGCTGGTATCTGAGGAAGGTCAGGGGATCAGAAGGCTTCCTGGAAAAAGATGGTCGTCTGAGGACCATAAGCACCAGACTGCAAGAGATGTTTTTTCTCAAAGACAGCCCTGTCTAAACTAAACATACATCAGTACACAAAGGCGTTTACACGTCCGCCACACTGGATGACAGTCCATTTACTTAACCTGCTTATTCCTATTCAAGGTCACAGAAGGGCTGAGTTTATCCCAGCATGCATTGTGCATCAAAAGGCAGAATAAACACCCAGGACAGATGGTAGTTATGTCAGGACGTATGTGTCATTTATACAGGGCTATCTGTTGCAGTCGAAGGAAGTAGAAAACCAGCATAGTGTCTGCAGAACAAAGGTCTGCCTCTGGTTTCAGTGGATGTCGCTGCAATAGAATAAATGGAGGGTCCCTATGACGCAAAGTAGTAGCATAACTGCGAGGGCTGGTGGACTGTAACTAGTTTGCTAGTCACTGTTTTTAACCTCAGCACCAGACACAAAAAAGCACCTGGACAGAGGCACAAGAGATGTTGTATGATAACTAGAAAGATTCAGGTTGAACCCCTCACTCACTTCCTTTAGTCTCCATCCTGCTAAAGTGAATTAAGTGGGCCTAAACTTTCCAAGCAGGAATTGAATTGAAAACATTGCTCAGATAGAAAGTCGCTCTAGAGGAAGAGATCATCTCACAGGATGAGTTAAACCTCATTGGATGAAGCCAAAGATTAAAATAATGTAGAGAGATGTATATTTTTAATATTTGATTTAATTTAAGTTTGTTGTAGGATTGTATAAGATGTGTGTATTACATATTTTAGATATCTACATTGTTACCTAGAGTAGATTTATGTGGGATTATGTAAAAGTTAAGCTTCAGCTTTTGTTGGGAGGCCACATGTTTTTGTTGAATGGCAAGGTTTGGCCCACGGGCCTATTGCTTACAAAGTCAAAAACCAATGAAATAAAAAAAAAAAAAATCACGGCCTAGTGATGTTAAGATATATATAGTATGTATTAACAATAAATAAATCTTTCAGTTACAATCTCATAAACTCAAATTGGCATTCATGATTTTGGAGTGTCAGCTTGGATAGATATAGAGACAGTGCATAAATTGTCACACAAAATTAAAGCTACGCTCATGATGGATTTAAACAAAGCTACAAAGAAAGGCTACCTTATATTGTCAATTCACAGTATACAGTTACTGTTTTTCAGGCTTAAGATAGTGTCCTTTGTCACCTCCCCACCTCATCTACCACATTAACTGTAACATCCAACCTCAGCTGTGAGACCAAAGTAACTTGTCAACTGACATACAGTATTATTCCAATTTTGCACCATTAAGATGAACATCACAGTCGTTTGAGCAAAGTAATCAATGCAACACAACAGCACTTTTACAAATGTTACTGAGTAACTACCAGCACACATAATATACCGATTGTTATAATGTTACTAGTGTATAGTATTTCACAGCATAACCATCAAAGCATTAGCTAACCTTAATATACAATCACTGCCTAAAATATTGCAGAAAACCGCCAAGAAATAATCAAAACAGTACACAGTTTTAAGAAAGCAAAGAAGTTAGCGTATGGAAACTTAACAGTGGGTGCAGCTCCTGACACATGCAGCCATTCAGTGACCTCTAACACTAACTGTGTGAAACAAACACAAAGGATAGTTTTAGCCCAACATGAGTGTGTGGCCTTGTCATGCACTCTGTCTATACTGCTTTCAATTGTTACTGTTGTCAGATCCAAGTCTTTCCACCATGATCACGGCTATGATATTACATGAGGACACGAGGACGCCCATATGGCTTGTCTCTTATCTTTTTCTAGATTGTGTATCAATTCAGTTTTTTTTTTTGAAAATATTATTTATGTTGGTTGTGTTATTTTTCTTCTTGATAATATCTAGAATATTTGATATTTACAACAGCAACAGCATAAGCTTATGGGGATCCTGTCAAAAATAAGCAATAGGTATGTTGCAGGTGTTGCATTACACACATGAACGAAGGAGGAAATGACCTCAAAGTGCAGTGGCATGCCCAAAAATTCACTTTTATTTCATTATTTCATGTTGTAGGCATCACTGACCGCATTTCAGCTAAAAATGATCTTCCTCGGGTGAAGGTGAAAACCTTTTTTGGTGGTACTTGGTTCAGTCCACTGAGGTTTAACTCAGTCACTGAGATTTTTACTTCCAGAGCAGCATTTCCTCCAAGAAACTGAAAAAATTACAATCCGCTTTAGTTGTAGTCATGTTGAAAAAGACTTCATAACAATCCTATCTGCCTTGGTTTTTCTTGAGCACGCTGCCCCAAATAAATACATCTTATAAACTCACAGTCACCTCTCTTAGCTGGTGTTGCCTCCACCTGCTTGTAATCATTTGGTGTGACTCAGTTAGGGACACGAAACTGCAGCGACTGAAACAACCAGAGACCATTTAGTCTCCAAGAGCACCAAAAACTGTAAAAGTGTTGTATTAAAGTGGCACCATTTGGACTCTTGTCACTGCCTGACCAGCACCATGAGCATTAACTGGTGTACGTGTGTGTGTGTGCGTGTGTGCGTGTGTATGTGTGTGTGTGTATGTGTATGTGTATGTATGTGTGTGTGTGTGTGTGTGTGTGTGTTTGTGTGTGTGTGTGTGCGTGCGTGTGTGCGTGTTCATTGCACTATAATACACCGGGAGCACTGTCACTATGCATGGATACAGTTAAGTGTAATGGTTCAAAGGGATTCATTGGTGTGTTGATGTTTTCAGAGAGATATTAAAAACAAAAAGTCAGGGCATCTCTGTCAGTTTAGAGCCCCCCGGAGGTTTGAACTCCTGCCACCACGACACAGTAAAGCCAGAAGACATCAGTTTCAAGGTCGGACAGAAAGTTTGTGTGTGAAGAGTTACAGTACAGAAACCCTTCACCAGTGTGTGTGTGTGTGTGTGTGTGTGTGTGTGTGTGTGTGTCTGTCATAATCTGTTAGGTAGCACCAGGGGACTAAGGTCAGCCAGTGGTCTACATGGGATCTAGGGAAGCAGTTCTTTACAATGTGTGTGTGTGTGTGTTTGTATGTATATGTGTGTGTGTGTGTGTGTGTGTGTGTCCAGTCATCTGTGTCATCCTGCATCCACCAACCTTCATGTACTAGCTGTATACTGCGTGTAGTTACCTGTGTGTGTGTCTGTCATTACATACTGTTTATGTGTGTAAATGTGTGTGTGTGTGTGTGTGTGTGTGTGTGTGTGACAGAGAGAGAGAGAGTTGGTGTGTGACTAGTTGCAGGCGAAGTACTCCTTGAGCGGGGCGAAGAGGTGCCTGATGACAGGGACGCTCCAGGAACGTCCCAGAAGCCTTTGCCTGGCCAGACGACTCATGTTGGACACGTCAGTGTAGTGGACGGGGAAACCGAACACCCTGGAGACACACAGGAGATTTCGTTCTTTTACTTTGGATCATTAGATGAAAGAGCCAGAGTCACTTTTATCAAGAAATACCAAACATTTGAAACTTTTGAAAATCAACTTTTGAAAATCAGGTTATGGAATGACATAATCAAATAAAAATAAAACAGTCACAAATTCAGTTACAACATGATTGCACAAAATTAAAACACAGAATAAAAACATAAAACTTTTCAAGAGAAAGAAATTAGAAAATAATGAGTTTTTATTAATTTAAACAAAGAAATAATAATAATAATAATAATAATAATAATAATTGTATTTAAATAACATCATTTGTGGCAGTCCTGAACTAATCTGACATATTCATTTTCAATTCTTTTATATAAAATCAAATTTAAAAAATGTAAATATCTGGCTGATTTAAAAAGACAAGTTAAAGCGTATGAAAAGGCTTCACAAAAATCACACATGCAAGATTTTGTGGTTAGAACCAAATGATTGATGACATCTAACAGCCAGGACTTCCGTCATGCTCACACTCATCAAATTAATTTATCAATCTGCAAAAATACTGAGGTCAGTATTTCATTTTTATCTATTTGTTTAGTTTCACAGGGACACTACAGAGACTCACTCTTACACAGGGAGGAGCAACAGGTGTAATGTACATACAGTGCATTCAGAAAGTATCCAGACCCCTTCACCTTTTTCACATTTTGTTTTCTTTTGTTTTGTTTTAACCTTATTCTAAAATCAAAAAGATAGATTTTTTCCCTCCTAAATCTCCACTCAATACTCCATAATGACAAAGCCAAAACAAAATTTTAGAATTTTTTTGCAAATTTGTTAAAAATAAAAAAGTTAAATATCACCTTTGACAAAAGTATTCAGACACTTTGCTATGACACTTGAAGTTTAGCTCAGTGCCTCCAATTTCTCTTGAATGCACTGTAGGTGTTTGAGAAGCTAAAGCTCCCTGGTTATGTTTGTGAATCATTTTTTAGTAACACACACACACACACACACACACACACACACACACACACACAAACCACTGTACCTTTCCATCTCGGTACACCAGAGGATGTCCTCCTTGTTGTCCATGTAGACGGGGAAATGCTCGTCTTTCCCCTGCTTCACAGAGTTGGAGCGTGTCGTTATCGTACGCAACTTCTCAAACTGGAATTAACATCCAGACCCAAACACACACAGACACAGACAGGCAAACACACACACACACATCCTTTTTTTAATCCTACAGCTGTCCCCCTTTTGTACACCAGATTTCTGTGATACATGAAGATTTGAAAAAAATGTAATAATATAAAAAGTGATAGTTATCAAATAATTATTCGCTTGAAAAACTGACTGGAAGGAAAAAAAGTGAAACAGTAGAAGCAAGAAATTGCAATAAAAATTGATATAAATGATCTCTGAGATATCAGTTCACAGAGGACTGATATCTATTTATCTATGATCAAAGTAGAAAAACACACAGAGGTCTCCTATTCTTCAATTTTCATATTATCGAGACATTGACTTTTAGATGCTGTACAATAAACTGTTTGTTATTTGACATCAGTGACACAGATTGTTGGTCAATTTCAAAACTTTTTCTAAAAATGTGTCAGTTTTTATTTTTCTATCGATCAAATATCCTGTTTGTGTTTGGGGCCTTGTAACTTGTCTTAGAACCCACAATCTTTGCTTACTACTAGTTAAAAAGATAAATGGCATAATGGTAATAATCACTCACACTCACACACACACACACACGTACAAACACACACACACTCACAGACACACAGGTGGATACCTTGGCTGTGCGCCCGTGCTCGAGGCATTCTTGTAGGTCAAGCTTGTCATTGGCCATCGGTGTCAGAGGTCTGCAGCAACCAAGAGGCGGAGAGAGATATAAAAACATGTAGACCATGAATGAAAAAGTTGTGTTTCTGAATGAATCATCAGAAAGTGAACTTGTGTTTGTCTGTGTATGAATCACCTGGACATGCCTGGCAGGTTTCCCCAGAAATAGCGAGCGCGGTGGGCAGCAGAGACTTCCTTGGCATCGATCATCACTGGATTACTCTGCAGATACACAGCAGGGTCACTTCACTGTTTCTCTGAACATTAAACATCTTCTCTGAGAATGAGACTCCTCCAAATGTCACACTCCAGGTCTGTGTATATTATTATTAACCTGTGACGCCTTATGTAAAGTTGAGTTTGTTAAGATTTGTTAAGAACTTTTTCAGCATCTTCTTGAGCCAATAATTCATTGATTACAAATGGTAAATTACTTTTTTAAATTTTAATGTTTTATGTTATATATATATATATATATATATATACAAAGTGGGTGGTTCAGATTTGAAACATGAAAGATTGTGCAACAACTAGACAGCAGTACATCTTCCCATGAATTTACATTTCCTGTCTCCTGCTTCAATCACCACTTAAAGTCACAATGTGTCTGATTCTGTATTCATGTATTTTATAACTGTACTTAGTGGGTGTGTTCACCATACCTCTAAAAAGCGAGAGATGTCCCGTTTGTCGCTGACTCCCATCGCAACCACGTTCTCAAACAGCCAGAAAAACGGCCGCTCGTCGCCTGGTTTTGGTCGAGCCTCGTGCAGCAGACGGTAGAACTCGAAAAACAACCGGCCGGTTCCCTCTGCAGGCGGACGGAGAAAGTTTAACCTCCATACGTCATTTCACATGAAGAATGAAAAAGAACTCACTTCTCAATTAGACACTCAAGGATATTTCTTAAACTTGATGTATTCTTTGCAAGTTTTTTTTTTATCTTTTAAAACGTATTCAAAACAGAAAAATCTCAAGACGACTTCTGACCGTAAAGGCCTTTCCGTGCAGGGTTGACTATGGACAGGTCGTTGCAGGGGCTTCCTCCTATCACCAGGTCAAATGGTCCCCACTCTTCAATCTGACAGGCAGAAGAAAACATGAGTTAACTTTTGGTGGAGCTGAACAATCAAAAACCATCAACTAGCAAGTAAAAGAGAGACAATAACTTCCCTATTATTCCACATTTACACTTAAACGCATCTTGTGTGATCTGAGCACAAGCAGACGACTCTATACTCAAGTGTGAATGTCAACAGATCTTAGAGATGAGTATTTATTCTGTCTCCAAATCTCAGCGTGAGGATGAGAATTTCACTTACATGTTTGCGGGTTACGTTGCGGACATCTCCCACGTACATGATGCGTCCATGGTGCCGAACCATGCCAACAGTGATGGAGTCTTCGCACACCTCAGAAGCCACGTACTTGTCGACCTGGAGACCCAAATCCTTCAGCACCAGAAGACCTGAGTGTGCATACACACACACACACACACACACACACACACCATTTATCATCATCTGCAAACTCATTCATCCAACAACTCTCAAATTTTCCTTTGATCAAGTTTGCAGTTGGAGTGAGATAACTTTATGCATTTTGTTAGTTTCGCACACATCAGAATCAGTATCTGGTTTATTGCCAAGTAGGTTTTCAACATACAAGGAATTTGCTTTAGTGTTTTAGTGAAATATAAACAAAGATTAAACAAGCAGGTTCTGCAGGTCAGAAAGCTTGTATTTAAATAGAAATATTCAACAATAAGATAAAATATTTACAATAAAAATGTGAAAAAATATTTTAGAAAAATATAATTTTTTATATTACATATAATATATACAATACAAATATGTACACTGTGCAAAGTGACTGTTGTGTGTGTGCAAACATGCACACAAGCTGAAATGATTAGTCCATAAATTGGTGAGTTGATTTTGCAATTTTGGTAATGGGTCGATCATTAAAGTGATTTACCAAATAAAAATGTTAAACATACACTGGTTTCCGCCGCTTTGTGTTTTTCATTTTTTATCGTTGTTAATCGATTTGTTTTGGCAACAAAACCATTTGAAGACGTCACGTTGAGCTCTGGAAACTTGTGCAGGACATTTTTCAGTATTTTCTGACATTTTATCGAAGGAACAATTAAGTGACAACTTGAAAAAACAAGACTCTGAGTCTGCAGCCAGGCTAGCAGCTCTGTGAGGCCAAACTTAATGGTTCTTGAAGAAAAATGCCAACATCAGCACACTAACATGCTCAGAATGGCAATGTTAACATACTGATGTTTAGCAGGTGTAATTTTTACCATGTGATAAACCAAAGTCATTAAAATCTATCCTAAGGAGGCCATTAGTGTGTGCTCTGAATGCCATGCCAATCCATCCAATAGTTCACACATTTATTCCTTGAAACCACAAACCTGAACCTGATGTTGGTGCCGGAGGAAAAGTCAGTGGAACCAGCAAAATCAGGAGGATTCAACTACATTTCACAACAGTCCACCCAGCAGCTGTTGTTATATCAATCTGGACCAAAGTGGTGGACTGACTGAACGACACTGTTAGTTGCATCCCTACACACACACACACACACACACATACACATATACATATATATATATCTATATATACCTGTGGCAATGCCGTCGAACAGAGAGAGGACTCTGATTGGTTGTCTCTTCTCTGCTGCAACTGGAGGATACAACTTGGCTGGCTCCTGAAACAGAGTTTAGAGGAAGAAGACACATCGATGAGAATCAGATCAGATGGATATTAACCTTTACAGATATATAGAGAGAACAGAGCAGCACAATACATAGTTAGCTTTACTCATGATGATGATCTGATCTTTTCAGCAAACATCAATAATTGAATATACTGTAAATATGGTCTGTTTTGATGTTTATTAGCCTTCCTAAATATATTATATAACAATCCCTGGAGCGTATTCCACACGGATTCCCACTTATAAAATGTCTCCTGTTTAACTGTGTTTTATTTCACCTCATATTTATAGCAAGGTTGTGATAGCAGATCAGATGTAGGACAACAAATATATCACATTTACTACACCTCACTGATATGTTGACTTATAGTATGGGCGGTTAATTATAGTATACTGCCCTACACAGGCAGACAGCAGTAACTACAGAAAAAGTGCAGTTCATACAAAAGAGCTTGAGGTTTGAAGGCTGTTTAGCCAAAGTGTGTGACGACTACGTCTACGCTGTTTTTAGGATGATTATTGATGAATATACTGATGAAGCAAGATTGGGTTCCTGCAGACTGGTTGAGGGGTTCAGATGCATCCTACGTAACTCTAACCTTCCTGGTTAAATGGGAAACCCTGCTGGGGAACATTTATACCTGTGTCTCCCCTCTTTCTGTTCTCTAATACTGATAAATAATAATACATTAAAAAGGCTAATTCAATCAATGTCTTATTGAACCCTTAAAGCTTAATAATTATTCAATGAAAAAACTAGAGTTCCTCATTAATCTTTGTTGAAGCAAACTGAAATCAGCAGGTACACAGTGAATATCAAAAACTAGATCTATAAACACAATCAAGACTTTTTTTTTTTTTGCTATTCATTATCATCAATTGATAGAAGAACAGAAACGAAATCAATGGGATCGAGACGTACGAATTCTTGTTCGTGGTTGTTGGCAAAGAAGTGTTGTAGTCTGCAGGGCCAGTCGTCCCGTCGCCGCAGCAAACCGTAGGTGTTCCGGGGGCCACACATGTAGCAGTTCCAGGGGTCTTCTTTGATGGCTGCTGCCGCCGAGCCGGCTCCTACCAACAGATCCACACACTCCACACAGAAACACCTGCGCACACACATACACACACACACACACACACACATACAGGGGGGTTTATCATGAGATCAGTGCTTCTCTTTTATTTCTTTATCAGACTGCTTATGAACATAGTTAGGGTGCTGTAGTTTAAACCAAGGAAAGAAATTACGTCTTTTCATCTTTTAATTCTCGTCCAGTTCATGTTCAAACCGGCTTCTTACAAACAAACACAAGGGCTACAAACATAAAGTTAAACTCACCGACAGGTAACTCACCCTCTTGACATCTCACTGGATTATGGGCATTATTCGTCCAGACTATAACTGGGACTCATATATTATAAATAAAATAAAGGTACGGTATTGATGATCTTACTGTAATATTACAGGATGATAGCAACTGTGTGGACACAAGCACATCAAACCTACTTTTTATTTTCCAATTGATCGCACGTGTTAGCAAGGTTATCAAAGCATTTTCGCATAATTATAGGCTACAGGCCATTTATACAGATCGGGAAAACGCTTACTTAACAGTTTCTGAGATGGATTTAATAGTAGTTATCTTGTGAATTCATGTTAAAACAACATATTTACTCTCACAGACCTGTGGTTGGTAAGTCTGGTCGAGACCTTCTATTTCAGACCAGTTTGAAGAAAACCAGCACCTTGTGGGTGTTTTCACGGCTAACTGGGCCTTTTTGTGAGTTAAATACGGTTTGATTAATAATTATCTGCTGCACATTTGGTTGTCTTTGCCTGCTGCTGTGTATCAGGTGTCTCCTTCTCATGTTTTACTGTGTGATAGTTTCTTTTGATGGATGAAAGTTCTGTGTTGGGAAAAGGCCTCATTACACCAAGCAGCACTGTGTATCTGATGCAGTTTTAGGGTGAACTTTATTATTGTGACTCCTGATCTCTCTTGCAGTCAGGAGGTCAGAGACCAGATGCCAAAATCAACAGTTTACTCGGTGTTGATATAAATGAATCTGTTCCTCGTGAGTTGGCTGACTCAGTCACCACTAACGGAGGCATGCATCACGTTTTGACATTTATGGGTAAGTTGTTTCTGTTGAGCTGAAATCCAAAACCTTGTCCTGGCCACAAAAAGAAGCAACTGCTGTCTGCCAATCCCAAACAGAGCAGTGTATACAGTACTGTACTGACCTACAGCAGTTGTTATTGCCACACATGAGCACTTCCCTGCCTCCACAGCAGATGGTGCAGTAGGACTGGTAGCCGTCGTCATCGTACTGGTAGGCGCACTCCAGGAAGGAGTTCTGTCAGGATGGAAAAAAAGAAAAAGAAAAAGAAGAAGCAGGATCAGGAGAAGAGCAGTGGGAGAGTGTCTTTGCTGTCACCATAATGTCAGCGTATGCATCATCTGAACATCCGCTCATTTTCATGCGTCTGTGTAACCATGGCGTGACTCAGGAACGGGGGAGGGACACACACACACACACACACACACACACACACAGGTCAAAACAAGATGGCAGGTGAGTGGGCTTCAGTGTTTGGCCAACAGAGAGAGAGTGCATCATTGTCGTGTTCCTTTGTTTGGTTGGGATCTATGTGCAGCAGTGTTTGGTAAATGCATGTAGTATAAAAGAGAAATTTGAAATGATATAAAATAAAGAAAAGCAGAAAATCCTCTCATTTGAAAAACTGGACGAGAGAATGTTTTGCGTTTTTGCGAGGTAAATGATTGATTCATTATCAAAATGACTGATTAATTATCACTTTAATGACTAATCGTTTGCATATATGTACTAGAATAATATGCATGAGATTAATGTCACAATATGGTATCAATGGCTTGAAATCACTGATTTGGACGACAGAATTTTGCAAAAAAATGACACAATCATATTATGATGATACGATTCTATTAAAAGTCCATAAACAATAATATTCAATTATTTACAAGAATCAGACAAAAGAGAGTGAGAGTTTTGTTTCTCTTACTTTGCAACCCTGGCACATGGCTCCTACGAAGAGAGGATGCTCCAGAGAGACGTTGAGGCTTCCGCAGGAGATACAGATATCTTAACAAACGCAGACGGACAAACTCATATTTCACACTTTGAAAGGAATTTAAAAGTGTGATAAATAAGACTTAATGACAATTTAATGTGCTTAAGATCAATAACAAGACTGAATCACTAGACTCAGATATTATTTGGCCAGTTGCTGTTTTTTTTTTTTTTTTAAATTTACTTTCCAGCTCAGAATCTATTTTGGACACTGAGGTCCTCACTCCACTCAACCAGCAAATTACTCTGCTGTTGTGCTCGTTATGGCGCTCACTGAATAAATGAATGAGTGAAATGCCAAAAATGTAAACAAGAACAAAAATTGGATTCCACATTAGATGAAAGCCACAGTAACAAGCACTTCAAAATGAGCCTTAATTTAAGTCTGGAGCAGAGTTAATCCTGACTTTAAAGCTAGGATAAAAATGTTTGAAATTGGCCCCTACTGTCACTACTGACCCTGCAGAGGATGAAGGAAATAATCATCTAATAATAATAATAATAATAATGTAAAATGATCTGTTTTGGATATGAATGGTTAAGAAAAGCCTTTGGATGTAACAGCGCCGCAGATAGTGTAACACAATTATATTTTATCAACTAGAGATGACTGTTTCATAAGAGGGTTATGAATTTTTAAATGATGGTGTAAATTAAACATTTAAAGATGTGTAACCCAGTCTGGGGGTTATTTTCATTACATTATGTTATTCATCAGCCATTACATTATTACTTAATACCAGGGTTAGACAAAAAATATGCAACATAGTATAAAACATGTAAGTTTATATAAGTTTATACATCACTTAAGGAAGAAGCTTGACTGATTTCAGAAGCTTTTACCTTCTATATTCCTGGTCTTCTTCTTGATCTCATATATAAGTCTCTCTGGAAAACACAGCACATTAGAAAAACTTGTTATTTCACATATGTATGAACACATGCAGCACATAAATAAATATGTTTTTTCTTGTAGGAAAAGTAACCATTAGTGTGTGTGAATTACAAATCAAGAGGACAGAAGAGTGGAAATGTGTTTGTGTGTTTACCTCTGGTCCCCTCGTCGATCACCTCTCTGATCTTTGCTTTCTCCGCTGCATGGTTCTTGCGTGGTTTCTTTGCAGGTGGAGGCGTGTATGCTGCCTCAGGCTCCGCCCACATATCTGGGTACACCCCTTTGTATGGATTTTGCTCCTCTGTCGGGACATATTATACAATTAATACAGGATACAGGTTTTCTAGTTTGTTTTAGTTGACATTTAGAACGATGACTTCCTTTCTCACGCATGTATTTACTGTTAACACACCTGACTTCCTTATGTGTTTTAAAGCAAAACCAAATATCCAGACAAGAACTGTAATCTCCCAGGATCATTTCTACAGCTATCAAATTGGCCCATGTGATAAAAACTGTTAAATCAGGTTTCCTCTACTGGCTAGAGCAGAAGCACTAAAACACATGCCTTACAGGTCAATTAACCAAATTTCCACGGTGTCTCAGGCCCAGAAAAGATGGATTAAGACATGACTATTCATGTTCTAAAAGCATGAAGACTGTGCAGACAAAACACCATCTCTGTATTTATTGGAAAAATGAGACCTTCATTGTGCAACTAAGACTTCAAAACAGACACTGTCACTGATCTAAGTGTTCATTAGTGAGTCTGCTGTGGTAAAAGGTTTGACAATTTATACTTATTCTGCCAGTAGCTTGATTCAGCTGCTGAAGTTTTATGGTTCTTACTTCTGAGCTCTGGGGACCAAATGTTTGAAAATGGGTGTGTTATGTATGTTACTGCTCCTCAAAACAGCCACTGTTTGATTGCAAATTAAGTGAACTGGTGTCACGCTTTTCCCACTTGAAATGAACATTTATTTCTTAGCCTCGATGGTTAAACATAGTTTTCACAGTAAACATTTGTTTGCAGCTTTGTTAGCTCTGAACAAGCCCCTTTCACTTTTTAACTCAAGCTCTGCTCAAACTAAGATATGTGATAGTGTGCGAGGTGACATCATAGCACCCTTTCTGTTTTGGTAACTGTACTTCAATTTGAATCTGGACCAGAGTCTGCCTATTGCATGTGTGGGTCCTCGGGGTTAAAACGTTGACTATGAACTGCAACGTCCCCATTTTGAATCCAGCTGAGAAGCTTTGTTGCATCTCTCCCTCCCTAGTTTTCTGTCATCTCTCCACTATTAAAGGCAAAAGGCAGGTGTAATTTTTCTGGATGCGACTGACTAAATGATGTAGGTTGTGTGTGTGTGTGGATGTGTCATTTGGGTGTGTGTTTGGGAGATATGTACCTTCTGGAGGGTCCAATGATTGTGGACCATTGGGTAGGAAGCCGGTCATGGCCCACTCTATCATCTGTCTGGTTTGAATGTCCACACCCTCTGCATCATCGCTCACATCACAGGAAGGGACTGGCCTTCCCGCCCGCTCATTGGCCACCTACACACAAAATAAACACACAATTTAATCATGTTTACGATCTCAATTTTCTTTCATAATGAGATCCCGTTTTTCTCACTCACAAGCAAAAACACACATGTGCATATGTTTGATTTAAAAAGAAAAATGCTAATTACGGCTGTACAAGATGTAGCCAAGTCCAAATATAGGTGCAGGTTCTAGTGCACAAATACTTCACTGTTTGTTTATGATGTTCACCTTATGGGCGCCACAGAAGCTCTTAATGACCGAGTGCTCTGAACTGATTAAAAGAAAAAATAAACCAAAATAAGTAAAAGAGCGTGAACTAATGTACCCACATGTTACCACTTATAAATTGTGGACAGAGCTAGATGAAGAACACCTCCACAAATGCAAAATACCAATGTTACATAAGAGAAGAATGAGTAAAATATGACCTTTAGACTTGTACATTTGTATTTTGGTCTTTTAGATGCTGACTTCATCCGGAGAGATTTATAATAAGCGCAGCAACAGAATAAAACTATTTTATTGGCCGTATAAAAACCACACACCCCCTGACACTCAGGAGCAGAGTTTTGATGGTGGCTTTGTTACCTGCAGAGCCTCGAAGATGGCTTTCCTGTACATGGACTGTTTGTTGTAGGTGGGCTGGTGGAAGGCAGATGAGAAAGAGCTCAGAGGCATCAGCTTCTCCACACAAACCTGTAAAACAAAGACATGATCATTCATGTGGTGAAGATTAAAAGAAAAGCCATAAATAACTGGAGAAAAAACAAGTGCACATTTATGACTTCAAGGCATAAAATCCTTCACTTTTTTCTTGTGTCTGTGGCTTTTCAGATGCCTCATATGTAAATTCTGTATTCTGTTTAGTAGAAAGAAAATGGAGAAAAATCAAGGTCATCTTTCAGCAGATCAAAGTAAACGATCATATTCACTTACTGAAGTTTCTGCTGAGAGCAAATGCACTGCTGAACTAACCCTGACAAACTTGAATAATTGTTAACCGCTGAATGAAACTGAGTACAACTGTACTAACTGTCATAACTAGGAAGAACTGAAACATATAAAAGGATAAAGTTAGAGTGTAAAAGTTCATGATCTGCTGCATTAAAGTCAAATGACAGAATTGGTAGCTCAGTCATTCCCTCTTTCTGTGAAAAGCATCAGGTCGCCTTTGAGTCTTGGATATGAACTTGCTGAATCCTTAACAGCCACTAAACCGTCATCTGATCAATCGAAACGAATGGTGCTCACCACAGAGAACTTGCCGTCACCGAACCACATGACCCAGCGAGTGCCGTCAGCAGCTCGACTCCGGCCGCTCATCCACCAGGAAACGATCTTACCGGGCCACCAAGAGAAACCGCGCAGCTTCCCGAACACCAGTGTGCCGATGCCAAAGCCCCGGCCATCCTGTCGGCAAACACACACACAGAACACAAGGTGGCTGTGAAGGCCGTACGGTCAGGTTTCCAGTTTCATGCTCTGGTTGTAAGATGATACCTGGAAGTTTCTAAACCAGGAAAATCTTTAATGTTATAGCAAATAAAGAATGAAAAATACTGTCCATTTTGAAACTAAAACCACAGCTACACAATCAAACATTTTACACTGAATTATAGTGAATGGAAGTTAGATATAACAAAGAAAAGGGCAACAGGTTTCCAAAGACAAAAGTGGATAATGTTAGTACAAAAATAACATTTCAGTCTCACAACCTTCATTAGATACCCTGATGAAGACCAAGAGCCAGTTTCACAAAGACAGACTTTGACTGTGGCTCAGACAGAACAAACAGTCAGACTTCAGACAGACGTCTAAATTCATCCGTTGCACAAACATTTAAGTTCTTGTCTATCTTAACTGTGAATTCTGGGTAAATTATTGGTATTGTTATGTTTTTGGCATAAATTCAGTTTGTCTTTATTTTTGTGAAAGGGTCTGACTTATCTATGAGCAAAATTAAGACTAACACTACAGAGCAGTCTGAAATATCTTTGTGAAACCAACTCTAAGTCTTGTTTTGCAGAAACAAATTTTATGTTTTGAATAAGTTTTCCACTTTTGGCAGCGTGAGTGTTGTGTGGCGTGTTTCCTTTCCATCAGCTATTTGTCTTACCGGACAGCACCTCCCCTAATGTTGCTTTGAGCACAGTGTCTCAAAGTTTACCAATCTTTAAATTTGCAGGAAGCAGGAGAAATTAGTACAAGATGTTATTTCCCCAGCTAGTTAGTACTATTATTATCCACCTAATACATAAGTCCTGGATTGTCTTATTAGCTGCTCTAAACAGAAATGATGACTCAGGCCATTTATGCCTTTATTAGATGGACTGTTGACAGGAAATGAGGGAGAGAGAGATGCAGCTAAGCTCCTCAGCCAGACTCAAGCGTTAGCAGAGCAGCAGCAGCTTCAGTCCTCGCTGTGTGTCTACACAGGAGACATCCAGACACAGTATTGAGTTGTAGGTCACCCACATTTCTCATTGAAAAACTCAGGAAAATAGACTAAAAACATGGTCTGGTTGATGTTTACACGTGTATATCAAGAATAAAAATGAGCCGCTGTGGGACCTGCAGAGATAGTTGCATTGATTAGGATCCATTTAAGTTGTAACTGCAAGTGTTCATGTTTCCATTTTTTCCTCACATCGATTTAAAGACTTCTCGTGTTGGTTTAAGAAGCTGAGTCACAGTTCATTCTTCTTCCGTCTGCTGAGGAAGATTGTGTGATATGCTTGAAAGCTCCAGAACAGCTGCTAATGGAGAGTTCATTATTTTGTCAACTGCCGTTCCCAAAGTCAAGAATGAACTTTCAGTCTCACTGATTTATTTACGCCTTTTAGTGGATACCTGAGGAAAACTTCTTCACACACTCAAGCAAAACTGTGGACAGTAAATGTGACACATCGTACAGTACACAATGAGTAAGGTCGGACATGGCAAGACTCACTGGATGATGTACCTGGTACTCTATCTCACTCGGCGTGGCCTGGTCACCCCTGGCAACGGGTTCTGGCGTCACGGCGACTGTCGGGGAGGCGGGGTCTGTGTGCTGCTGTGAAGGCGGAGGGGCCGGGCTGGCGGGCTCCTCCTCTTTTTGGAAGTCAGCCTCTGATAGGTCGTCCATCATGTTTATCTCTGCCTCTCTGTACGCCCGCCGCTCCGCCTGTGAGGGAAACACAGAGACAAAAAACACCTGATGAGCAACGAGGAGAAGGAAGTGTCCATTTTTTTTCCCCCACTACTTTAGCTTTATCCCTCCGTAATGGTCCGACCTGTTGAGAAATGTATTTGAATCCATGTACAGCTAGAACCGAGTTAATAAATGCAGCGATACGATGGGACAAGAACAAGTTTAACAGGCATTAATTCCTCAAGTATCCACTGTGAGCAAAATGAAAACTTACACAAATTGATGACAAAAAAAGAAAGAAAGAAAGAAAGAAAAGTAGTAACACATTGACTTCAAATGGTTTCTTGCTGTGGGAACAGTCTTTCTGGCATTTTTGACCTTATCTGTGCATAATTACAAGTTATACTACGCGACTCCTACAGTATGTCAGATCTGCCAGCGCCAAGTCTAAAGGATTCACCATTTATGGCTGACTTTCTGTTAAACTTTCCTTTGGGGAAAACGCCTCCACATACATAACCTCCTCCACAAGAGCTCATGTGATTAGATAATGGATTACTCATACAAATCTTTTATCTAAAAAATACACAACATGTACAGTAGCTTCTGAAGATCTGCCACTTGACTTTTGATGACTATTTTATTTATTTATTTATTTATTTTTTAAAAATTTACTCTTTTATTACAGAGTTGACAGTCAAGTTATGAGATGAAAGAGATGGGGAATGAGCTGGTTTTTATAATGATAATTTATAGACTTAACAAACAGACAGTTATTATTAGCCAATTATGAAAAACAACATTCAAAGAAAGATCATAGCAACGACTTGACTACCTCTTCTGCTAGCAATACTATGAGTAATAATAACAGTAATAGCAGGCTTTAAGCTTGAAGCATTCCTTTACTATCCTGTGTTATTTGGTGCACAATTTATTTGAACTATTGCATATCAATACAAATTATTTGAAGTATATGGAAATATACATAATGACGGACGAGTTGCTTTGCTTTCTGATATCGTCAATGCAGGGAGTCCGAAACTTCTCTCAATAAACACAGGCAAAAGGATCAGTGTGCTTTTTACGTGCGCTGTAAAATCCTGGTTTTGAGTCTTATCCTGGTTTTATTCTATCTCAGGCTGACGTTGACATCGAACATGAGAAATGTAGTCATTCATATCCATGTGTGTATGATGCTACCAGTGTCCAGGTGTCTGGTCATCTGTGTACAGGTGACTCTGGGTTCCTCACCGTCCCAGCTGCTATGTTTTGCAGCAACAGAGAATGATCAGAAACCAGGATTCTAGCAGGCATTTAAAAACACAACGCAACTTCTTAAGAATAACAAGGGGAAGGTAGATTTCCATTCTTTCAAATACTTTTGATGTTTAATATAAAGCAGCGTCTTGAAATGTGTGATGGGTCAAGTGTTTGTGATGACTAACTAAAGCTACTATTTATCCTGCATGTGAGACCAATCAACAATATAATCAGTTCAAGTAGCGGTATTCCCACCAGTGTAGTACAACTACAATCTGCATCATATCTGTCATTTAAAAGCAGACAACACAAAGCTGCAAACAAAGAACATTTACTTGAGAAGCGTACTTAAGTATATTTTCCAAGAATGTGTGCTTTACTTGAGTGTTATTTCTTTTGGAAACTTATGACTTTTACTCCATTTCTTTTATTTTGAAAATGTGATAGATCATACACTGTGTTCATCACAAAATAAAATCTGACAGAACAACTTTCTTGTATTGGAGTCTCATTTGAACAGGAGGATCTGTGCTGGAGTTGTGCAATTTGTCCACCTTTGACTGTAAATGACTAATGTGACTTGAAAAGATGATTCATAGATAAAGTTTCAAGACTGAAACGGCTATTTTGTCAACAATCACATCATCGTCAATCTTTCCTCTCACTATGACTGCACGCTCTTGTCCTTCATCATCTCTGGGTGACCAGTGTTTCCTCAATAGCTGCGCATATGTCATAACCTTTTTGTTTTACTCCTGTTGGTCTTACAGGCAAACACGCAAACACTGTCCTTCAAGGAGGTCCTGTAATTGATGTTTTACGTGGGTCTTTCCAGCTGATGCGGTAGCTGCTCTAGATCAAGGCCTTAGTGCCCCAGGCTGTAGGAACAATCCTTTAATTGTTCCTCTAAACAGGAAGTAAGTGGGGAGTGGAGCGGTGGGGAGGCAGTTCAATGGGTTCAGCTCAGGAAAGAGAGAGCGAGAGAGAGAGTAAATAGGATTATATTATAAAACTGAGGAATACAATACAGACAGAGAGAAAGTGGAGCATGTTTGATGGGCGACAGGAGGAAAAAGAGAGGATACAGGAAGTTCGATTTTCAAGCGATAGTTAATTTTTCTACTTTATTACTAATTTTTTGACAAATGTATTTAATCAAAAGTATAACAAGCTTAGGAAAGCTTTTCTCTTTGTGGCAAGTAGTACTGACAGATTTTATTCAGCAATACCACACTATAAAAATACTCCATTACAAGTAAAAGAAGTAAGTGTACATAAAGGAAGAGTTTGTCTTTGCTTTTTTTGTTTTCTCAGAGTTAGATGAGAAGAAGTGAGTTAAATAAGAAGCTATAGTCAGCAGGCAATTAGCTTAGCTTAGCATATAGACTAGAAACAGGGTGAAACAGCTAGACTGGTTCTATCCAAAAGTTAACAATTTCAGCATACCAGCATCTCTTAAGCTCACTAATTAATATGTTTTATTCTGTTTGTTTAATCTCAGCTGTGAAAGAGAAAAGTTGTGGTTTTAGTTGTCAGGGGTTGTGTGCAGGACTATTTCTTGGCCACGCCTGTAAGCAGCTCTTGGACTTTTTGGAGCCAGGCTAGCTGTTACCCGCTGTTTCCAGTCTTTTTTGGTAATCTAAGATAATCGGCTAGCTGCTGGCCTCTTTGTGGACTCTTTATTACTACTACTACTATTATTACCAGATTTTTATTACTAATTAACTAATAATTTTATCTGTAACAATGCATCATGTCTTCAAAATAACTTGTTCCCATAGCTGTGAAATAATTGTAGTGGAGACAAAGCCCAGTATTTCTCTTTGAACTGTAGTGAAGTAGAACAATAAAGTTCAACTATAAAGTATAAAATGCAACTAGTCATGTAAAGTATAAGTGCCTCAGTCACCTTTAGTTACCTTCCACCTCTCATGATACAATAGTAATATGGACCAAGTTCAAACAGACAAAATTAAAGAGCGTCACCTGAAGAAAATCTAAACTACAAGATGTTAGAGTTGGGTGGATCTGACTGACAAGTAATTTCTGGGAAGTCCAGTGCAGAAACACTGCTTCAAAGACGGAGACAAAATTAAAAATACTCATGACCTCACTCGTTACTACGCTGCAAGAATCTCACTGTGGCCCAGATGTAAAATCCCACGACTCCTCCAGAGCATTTCCATGACCTAAAAATATTGTTCCCCTGTTTTTAACATTGGTGAGAACAATTTGGTTTCTACCCTCGCTGAGCTGAAACCATAATGTAATGTAATGACTGTGTGAAACATGCTGAGGAAAAAAAACAAAACACTGCTGCATTCCTCTAGAAACAACAAAAAAAAAAAACCCAAAGGAGAACGTAAGAGGCGAGGAAGGGGGAGGGATGACGACATGACATAAATTCAAGTTGAGGAGACAGTAAAAGTGAGGGTGTCGGGTTGTGACAGCTCTCTCCTCAGTTTGACCCCGAGGTGAGAAGGTCACTCTTCCCCGCTCCTGTTGACCTCTGACCTCATAAAATCCAAATCAGCCTGTTACACGGATCGTAGACAGACCACACACACAAACGCATGCACGCACACACACACACGCATGCACACACACGCACTGTAAGGGAATCTCCACATGTCGTCACTGGTTTCTAAAACATCTGGAACGCTTGACTGAGTCTGGAAAAGTGTCGGTGTGTCCCAAATCCATGCAACATACAAATTAGTATGTGGGATTTAACTGTAAAAGTGACTAAATGATGTGAACTCTGAGGTTGGTTTTTTAATGGGTTGTTGATGGACACTATTCTGACACAAAGGAAATGGAGGGGCTGCTCACAGCTGGAAAAAAACATCTAATTAATGGTGAATTGTGTTGAGCAGGTCTGGAAAGAGCTTGGAAAACAAAAAATAAGTATTAAATTCTAATTAAGAAAAACCTAATTGGCAGTGAGATCCAAAAATTACACTTTAATTGATTGATTCATCAATTCCCCCTAGGGAAGTATCTATCTATCTATCTAAAATGCTTAATTGTGCTGATTTGTTTGCATACTAATGACTGTATACTAAGACAGTCTGTGTGTAGTAAAGACTGTACAGATTCAGCATGTATTATGGAAAGAAAACGCTTTGTTTAAAAATTATTCGCTTTTTTCTTTTACAGTTTTTATGTTGCATGAATTTCACATTCTTTGAACTCTTATTTAATGAATTTTAATTTTAGAATAGATTTTGATTGAAAAATTTTAGCGACATCATGATTACTGTCATTTTGTAGTAATTTATGTCATTTTTTTTTACTCGTACGTTTCTTTTATTCATGTTAAACTGTTGAAAATGTGTTTTTGTTGACCTTGGTGGTGAGCTGCAGCATATAATGCAGAGACGAATAAAGTTGTTTTAAATGCAACTGAATTGAACATCCCTCGTTATATTCTCATTCAAGCTCTTCATTGATGAAAAGGTAGTAGTAGAAATATTGCTACTTGCTACACCACAGACCAAATGTTCCCGCAGAATTAATTTGATTTTCAACTCATCTCATCTAAACTTTGCTGCTGTTGTGAAGGAAACGTGATCATTTTTGTCGGCATCTGGACCGGATCATCTCATTAGAGGGCTTAGATTCGACTCGTGTTGCTGAGGGATATCAGCCAAAATCCTGCTTACTGGATGAAACTGTGTTTGTTGCCTGGCAACATTAGCTGATTGAAGAGTCCATCAGGAAGCTTAACTGCTTTCAGAATCGAGGATGAGTCACTGAGTATTCATCTACTCGCATTTCTGTGAAAGCAACACTCGGGTCTGAACTGAACCAATAGTCAGCTTCATGCAATCGAAGAAAAGTCCTCGACGAAAAAAAAGAAACTCGACAGAATATTGTCTGTCTGATTATGTTTATACTGTGGTAGAGGATTGGTGGACTGTAATGAATGTACAAGATAAGTATTATTTTCATTGTCCTGCACAAATTAAGGGTGTGTCTTTTGTATTTTTTCAAAAGATTGTTTCTATGATGAATTGTGAGAGTTCAAACATAATTTTTAAACACAGAAAGTCCTCTCAGCAGCTTAGTACAGGGCCTCTGCATGGTTCACTAAGCTAAATGTAAAACCTCCTAAAGACTTTTTTAGTACCATATATTTGCCCGTTAACAGCTTATATGTGGAATTGAATCACATACTTCCTACTAACCCTAAATCTAAACCTTTAATAGTAATACATGGATAGATGTCAGTGGTATGTAACAACTAAGTGTATTATCAGAAGTGGACATAAAGCTCAGTCAATTAGCTCTGGAGACCTTGTCTTCCAGCCCTCACAGCTGTCAGCTGACTCAGTCAAACTCTCACTGCTTCATTAGGCTCAATGGAAAGTTGAAGTTCTTACAGGACCCACAACACTGTTTGATAACTGTGAATGCACCCTCAATGTTTGTGAGCATCATGTTATATGTATTCACTACAGTCATCACTGCCTCATTCGATATCTGAGAGAATGCAACCAGTAAGAGTTTGATCACAGTGTGGAGGGAGACTTTTTATTTACTTACTAACCTATAAAAAGTTCAGTAATGAGGCCAATTAACAGAATATAAACTGGAGGACTTCCACTCTGCAGGGCCTTGCTCAAGGCTTCCAGGGCTTGTGCTGTGATGCAGAACACTTTCTGAGTTAAGCAGCATGTTTGCACCTAAAGTTCAACATACGACCATCTACTTTTACACTAAGCTGGTGCTCTCCACCAGTCGGGGTCAGGTGTAGGTGCACCAAAACATAAATAGGATTTCTTCCAATGATTGAAAGTATGTATTAAAGGTTTATGATGTACATCAATCAAATAAAACCCGAACATGCTGCACATGTTATGCTACAGCCTCTTACAGTACAGTATGCAATTTGGCTGAATTGCACATCAAAAGCTTTAATAAATAAACAAGCAGGGCACTTCCAGTATTATTTATGCTGTTTCTCTCTCTGCTGTTTGTGTCAGTTTTTCCCCTCTGTATTTGATAAAGAATGAGTCCTCAAATTCTTTCAATATACTGTAATGGCAGGGAATAAAAACTGCATGTGGGGCTATCAAAACACATCAAAACTGTTCTAAAGAACTCTGAATTGTTATGAAACTGTTTTGTTACGCATTCGCAAAAACACCACCAATAAATTCAATGGATATATATGAACAGCAATGTGCAAAAGTTTTATACACTTTCGAATTGGTTTCACTTTTTTCTCTTTCACTGCACTTCATATGAGGTTATTAGAGAAATAAAAACATGACGTTATTTTTAAAGGCATCCCCACTTTGTTTTAGTGCCTAAAATATCTGCACAGTACAGTTTGTGCTGGTAACAGTCCTCAAAATATTCAGTAAGATAATGGATGTCACGGCCTTGCTGTTATGAAAGTGATCTATGGAACTGCTTCGTATTGTAACAGATGCTATGAGGCTGATGGCGGCAAGAGAACAGGCAGTGTGTGTGTTTTCATGGGACAAATAAAGGCAGGAGGGGGTAGAAGGACATAGAGAGGCTGTATAATGTTGTGAGTTACGTCTTTGAACTTTATCGAACCCCGTGGCCCTGGTCAGCGTTTTCACTCTTAGTGCCGCCCCCTTGACCTCTGACCCTTCACCCACTGACCTAAACCAATGAGCCATTTCTTAAACCACGCCTCCTTTATGAGCGTGACTGACCCTGACCTCGAGATGAACCCAACATTGCTCAAAACACACACACACACACACACACACACACACACACACACACACTACAATTAAGACAGCAGTTAATAGCCTCTCTCACACTGTCAATAGGAAACACACCAAGCGACTGCTCTTTCATTAGCATTGATCGCAGCCGTGGGACATGTTAAAGAAACACAGTCAGTGGTTTTCCATGAAGCTCTCCTGAGATCTCTTGTAATGGAATGGGGCAAACAACATCTGCCTGATGGCTGTTTAAGAACAATACCAAAATGTCTGACCCGACTGCGGCATAGTAATTTGGTGACTTGATGTCGTTTTCCAATTATTAACATATTAAGAAACCATTCAGATGCTTTTCCAGATGTTTTGGGAAATGCTTTAAACTGGTAATCCAACCCAAGTGAACAGAAAACATGACATTTAATGATCAAATGGAGCAAACACTGTCTGTTTGATAGGTGATTGAAGGCAAGACCAAACCTCATGGACCTGGAGTACAGAGCAACACCTCAGGGACTTGGTGTTGTTTTCTCTCTATGAAGTAGTAGTAACCATTTTCACGTTTTTCTGATGGGTGGAAAAGTGGAAAAGGCTTTAAACTATTACTTTGTCTGATGTTTATATCGGGACACACCCGAACATTATTTTAACCCCGCAGTAAAATAATTGGTGATTTGGTTTTGTTTTGTAATCGTTAACATCTTTGAGAACTATGTGCACACTTTCCTGATGAGATAAAAAAAAAAA